GCCGATGCATTCCAAACGCTTGGGCGTAGGTGTGGTAGTGGTCAATCGTCTACTTTATGCCATTGGCGGCTTCGATGGAAACGAGCGTTTGGGCAGCGTGGAGTGCTACCATCCGGAGAACAATGAGTGGAGTTTCTTGCCACCCCTTCAAACCGGTCGCAGCGGAGCGGGTAAGCATGACAAGCGTTCTCTTATCATTACTCCTGCTAAATTCAGATTTAATTACAATCAGGCGTGGCGGCAATTAACCAATACATCTACGTGGTCGGCGGCTTCGATGGCACCCGACAGCTGGCCACAGTTGAGCGCTACGATACGGACAACGAGACCTGGGACATGGTTGCGCCTATTCAGATCGCCCGCAGTGCTCTGTCGCTGACACCGCTGGACGGCAAGCTGTACGCCATTGGTGGATTCGATGGCAACAATTTCCTGTCCATCGTGGAGGTTTACGATCCGAGGACAAACACATGGGTAAAGGGAACGCCACTGAAGTCGGGACGCTCCGGTCATGCCTCGGCGGTTATCTATCAGCCCGCGTGTGCCACCACATTTATGGACTACGAGGAGAGCGAGGACACGACGGGACGGGACGGAAGCCATGATGATGGAAGGTCTGGGGACTCGTCGTCACAAGATCCGAACAGCAGTAGGAGTCCACACTCGTACTCGGGAAATGCGCCCAACATTCAGTTCCATACGTCCTTCGGCATGAGTGGCTGCAATAAATGCGACTCCGAGATAAAACAAGAAGTCACTACAGACACGAGAAATTTTCAAATTCCTGCCATTAAAAGTGAGGAGGAGCTGAGCAGTACCCTGTGTCCCTGGTCCAGAATGCAGCGTAAATTTCGAAGGACCCCACCACTGTCATTCACCGATAGCGAAAACAACACAACAGATTTAACACACAAATTCGATAGAGCGCGGAAAAAGTGCATACTAAGCACAGCGGCGAAAGTGATACATAACCACATCGAAGGCCGCCTGCGGAAACTGGCGGCGGCCACATGACAATACGAATCCGATCCATACGCTTAGCCACAACCAAAACATCATTCATTGTACAAAGCCTGTCCGCATCCCCCAGAATTCCATGTTGAGAAGCAGCATTCCATTGAAATATCGCCAAAGTGTTCATTCGCTGGTTGATATTTATGAACGTGTAGTCAAAACAGATTTTATGGCATCCATAACATTAACTGACGCTCGTCAGCACATTTTTTAAAGATTGATTAGGGTTAATAGTTAATTAGTGGAAGGAATGAAGGAAAGTGTGTCGTCTTTTATGTATAACTGATAACTTGCATATTGTACTTTTTTTAGAATAGGTTCAAAGGAATTACTTGCATCCATATAGTAATTTATACAAAATGCAATACATTTAAGATAAATAAATGAAAAAAAACTATTTTACAAAACTTACAAACATGTGTTTAAAATGGGAAGAAAGTTCAGCTGCAGCCCGACTCCGATTGCTTTATGAATGCATTAATTGCGCAGCTGAATTGAATTGGATTGCAAGTAAATATTCAACCTATATGGCAAATCCAGGTGTTTATCCAAGCTTTATGTCATTATGACTCGCCTTTTTATTCCAAATTAACATCATTTTTATTTGCTGTGTTTTTGTTGCGTGTAAACCAAGAGCTCAACAAATTTATGATTAAAGACTCCTCTGTTTTCGTGGTCGCGGAGGATTAAATGAAACTGGTGTGTTGTCGGTAATAGACACAATATTTAAGCCACCCATTTGCAGTCCCTTAATCGCAGACTGTGAAAAGATTAAACAATATAATTATTATTGTTTGATTTAGAGGTTTTACATTAGATCGTACCATTCTTCCAGGGCCAAGACCACGAACCTTAACGCGCACTGTTTTCCAGCCCAGTTCAACGGCTTTCTGAAAGGCATTTAGTATTAATTAAGCTTTAAATTATGAGACATAAGTTGGACCAGAAAAGGCTGATAATATAACTAAATTTAAAAAATATTTTTCTGTCTTTTTTAAAGCAAAAATGTTTTATGTTCAAGGAATATCCGTGAGTGTTCCTAGCACTTACTCCACTAATGGTCACAGCGGTGGCTTGAGCGGCAATGTTTGTGCCCTTGCGGGTGTTCTTGAATCCTTCTATGCCACAGGACCGTATCAGCCGCAGGACTCCTGAAAATAATAAACATGTAAGCACATATGGGACTTATATGGCAGGTATTCCCGCATCTCAAACCTTTGTAATCCGTCACGGAAATAATTGTGTTGTTGGGCGACACGCGAATGTTGCAGATGGGCAGCTCGTTGAAGGGGATTCCGTTGAACAGCTGAGTGGCGGTGCTGGCATCCGGAAAGAACTTGGCCTTGCTGTGGGATAACATATTCTATACCATTTACTATTTTACAGGGTATAAAGTAATTCGCACCGATTAATAAGGTTGTCTATGTCCACGGACTTCTCGCCCACGGTGCCTTCGTCTTTGGCCGGCATCGAGGCCAGCATCTCCTTGCGGTCCTCCGCCTTCCGCAAGCACGCTCCCGTATGGATACTTGATACTTGCAGGGGGCTCAGTCTCTGGGCATGCCGTAAAGCACTTAAAAATACGTTTTTAAGTGACATTTTAATGTTTATTCGCGGAGTTCGTGCACAAAACCAAATTACATCACAACGGCAGTCTGGCAACTCTGGCAGTGTTGGTAAGCACGTCACAACAAGTGGCCCGGTCATAGAACAAACATATCGATAATATCGATAGAAACGTTAGTGTTGTTGCAGCACGTGTTCAAGTTAAGTTTTGGTTCTGGTTTCTGTTGTTTAAAATGGCTCTGAAAAGACTAAAGAGTGAGTAATTGGTTAAATATACAAAATAATTCTTACTACCTAGTGTTTGGCTTATTGCAGCCAAAAAATCCAAGCGCCTTACCGGCCGCCTCAAGCACAAAATCGAAAAGAAGGTGCGCGACCACAACAAAAAGAACGGCGTGCTGCCAAGAAGAACCCCAAGAAGGGCAGCAAGAAACAGAAGCTCATCCAGATCCCGAATATCTGTCCCTTTAAGGATGACATCCTCAAGGAAGTGGAGGAGGCGAAGGCACGCCAGGAGGCCGAGCGCCTTGCCCGCCGCGAAGCCTTCAAGACGGAGCGTGAACAGAACAAATTCAAGTCACTGGAGTCCATGGTCGAGGATGCGGACATGCGGAGCACCGTCCACGGAATAATGCACGAGAACGACGAGGAAGCCGGCGAGAAGCAGTACAAGAACGCCGTCACAAAGGAGCAGTCACTGAAGCAGTACTTCAAGGAGTTCCGCAAGGTAATCGAGAATGCGGACGTCGTCCTGGAGGTAGTGGATGCCCGCGATCCCCTGGGCACACGCTGTAACGAGGTCGAGCGCGCTGTTCGCGGTGCCCCGGGCAACAAGCGCCTGGTTCTGGTGCTCAACAAAGCGGATTTGGTGCCACGAGAGAACCTGAACAATTGGATCAAGTACTTCCGCCGCAGTGGACCCGTCACCGCCTTCAAGGCTTCCACACAGGACCAGGCCACACGACTGGGACGCCGCAAGCTCCGCGAGATGAAGACGGAGAAGGCAATGCAGGGATCCGTGTGCATTGGAGCTGAGCTGCTCATGTCCATGTTGGGAAACTACTGCCGAAATAAGGGCATCAAGACCTCGATTCGCGTGGGCGTTGTGGGCATTCCCAATGTCGGCAAGAGCTCCATCATCAACTCGTTGACTCGCGGCAGGTCGTGCATGGTGGGCAGCACGCCAGGAGTGACCAAGTAAGTTGATCAGTAGTTTTCAGTCAATGTTTTGAACAAATAACAACCTTTTCTTTAGGGCCATGCAGGAAGTCGAGCTGGATTCGAAGATAAAGCTGATTGATTGTCCCGGAATCGTGTTCACCAGCGGATCTGAGAACTCGCATGCGGTGCTAAAGAATGCGCAGCGCGTGGGCGACGTGAAGGATCCATTCACCATTGCCGAAAGCGTTTTGAAGCGTGCAAGCAAGGATTACTTCTGCAACATGTACGACATTACGAGTTATGATACTTTTGAGGAATTCTTTGCCAAGAAAGCAGCCAGGATGGGTGAGTACATTACACTCCACTTGAGATGAAAGAGATTTCAAATTGTTTTGAAATCCCCAGGCAAATTCTTAAAGAAGGGTGTGCCCGATGTGGTGGCCGCTGCGCGAAGCGTGCTCAACGATTGGAACACTGGCAAAATCAAATACTGCACACAGCCGCCGGAAGTGCAAGAAGCACAGAGTGTGCACATAAGTGCCTCGATTGTGCACTCCGAAGCCCGCGAGTTCGATGTGGAGAACTTCGAGTCCATGGAGACAGAGATCCTCGATCAGTGTGCTGTGAAAAACGATGACATCATGGAAATAACATCGACAGGTCCCCTGGAGATCAGACAACCGCGTGAAGAAGAGGATCCTGCCACTAAATTGGCTGCCAATCTGATCATTAACGAGAAGGAGAAGGCAGCGGCAAAGGGTCGTAAAAGGAAACTGGAAGATGAAAAGGAAAAACCAGACCCCGTCCTGCTCTTGGAAGGTATGCTTCAACTGACTATCCTTAAAATTTCGTTCCTATTTAGACTATATTAAATTACAGAAAACCAAGCGCTGAACAAGGGTATCAAGGAACTGCAAAAGCGAAAGAAAAAAATGAATGTCCGTAACGAGAAGAAAATCTCCAAGATCACAGACGTTCTGGATAACTTTAGCATAGGTTCCGTATCCACAAAGGCAGATAAGTATGATTTTGATGAGGATTATGCGATTGAATAAAAACCTGTCTGCCTTAGCTTTAATCTTATAAATAAATCTGTTGATGATACACTATATATTTAGAAGAAAGTGTAATATCTCAAAAAAAAGTCGTTTTGAAGTCTTTTTAATTGTGTTGTTAACCATTTAATTTTAATGAAAACGAGTAGGGCTGTTTTTTTTGTAAATATATTGAAATTTTATTACAATTTTTTAAACTTAACAGTATAACTGCACTGATTAAATATTTGATCATATTGAAGCTATTGTATCGTATGCATGCATGTTTCATTTTATCCATTTGACTTCAATTCAATGTTAAATTTTGTAAATCAGCCCAGTAACTTTGCTCATGAGTGATGAGTACGCTTGAAAGTTCGTTTCTTTCTATTTCTTACAATGATTTTTTGGAATTAAATTATACATACAATAATCACGTACCTATTTTCTTTATGAATTTACTGAACACGGTCTTGCTTTAACAGTGAAACAATGGGTAACAATCGCATTTATACTCTTAGAACGAATTACATAAAAGGCTGGGGGGGGGGTAATTTTATACGGATTTTGGATTTGTTTGGTTCAACGGATAAAAGCTTCAGCGCGGGGATCTTAATTGCAACACCAAATCCTCGAATTGGCATTTCCTGCTTGTGGAAATGAAATCGAAATCGGGGCTTGTGGAATATGTGAATGATTTTTCCATGTAAATAATATATTTGCTGATGGAAGAAGATTGCTTGAACTTGAGTAGATGAAGTGCTTGTGAGGAACGAAAACAGTCAAAATATCAACATAAAACAAATGATGTTTGAACATGACGTATGCTTTCTATAAATCAATTGCAATCCCTGGGCGCTGGACCTCCTATCCGTGACGAATTTAGTTAATAGTGCTTTTCATTTTCATTTAACCTAGGATCTATGCAGATTATACTGAACAGACATTTGTATTTCAGTGATGTTTGGTTTCATTTGGGTGGGGTATAAATTATGGGTTTAGGTTCTCTTAAAAACGTCGCATAGAAAAGGTATTTAGATGCTGATCGAGTGGTCTCTCCTATCTCTGTTAACCCTGATGTGCCTTCTGTTTTAATTATGTATATAAATTAGTTATTTATACATGTCATATAGCTACTGGCACAGGGCTCTAGCCCCATACGTCGGTACATACTACATGTGTATATATATATATATAGAGTGAATCACAGGATTTCAATTTTTGCTAAGTATGTTTAACAATCAATTACTATGTATTCTCGCCGGACTCCTACTCCACTCGTCCACTTGTCCATGCGATTCGGATGCGTTAAAATTAATTTCGATGTATCTACTAGCAGTAATTGAAACTTGTTTCGTAATTATTATGTTTGTAAACATTTAAAATGATTTCTTTTGCAGTCCTTTGTTGTTCCAAATTATTGGTTGTTGTTTAATGGTTAGTTGGCGGCTCGGTCTTCTGCCCGCCAGACTCCAACGTCTTGATCTCGTAGTGGATCTCGTCCCAGGCGCCGGATCCTTCAGTGAGCACACAGTGCTGCACAGTTTGGTTAGCAGCTTCTGTGCCTTCCGCAACAGTTGACGCGATCGTGGGTTTCCCTCCCGATGCCAGCTGGTGGTCACCTGTGGCTCGACCAGGTGCTGGAATGCTGGATGGGAAGACGATAGCGCCTGCAGTAGGTACTGTCACCGCAGATGACTGAAGTGCACCTCCACCCAGCAAGGGCAGCCCATGATGTCCTGGCGCGTATAACTGTTGCCCCAACCCTTGGCGAAGCTGATCTTCAGGCTGAACCAGTCAATGGGTCCCATGTGATGGTGTCCCGGCTGCCTCATGCTTAGCCATTGGGCCCTGCAAAAATAGAAAACAATATAAGAATTTCAATAGAACAAATTAAATTGAGAAAGTCTAACCTGTTTGTTTCAAAGGCCTTCAGGCAGCAGCCAGGCATCACTTTGCACACGCGGTCCAGTCTCTCTGCCAGAGTTGGGGAATCCACAAAAACGGCAGAGTTTCCACGATTGTAGATCCAAACATCGCCGCATTCCAGGCTCAGAGTGACTCCTGAAACGTAAACTCCAATTAAGAAGGATTCGTTTTACCAATGAATGGTTTCTCTTACCCAATCCGACCTTCTTGCGCGTGTTTACCACCTCGGAGGACACTTGCTTGTCATTCAGAGTGAGGTCACGCAGGCACATACTATCCCCGCCACTGTCCACTATCCCATCCGTATAGATATTGACTGCATTGGTCCGGGCATGAAAGAATTCCCCAACTCGATGGGCCAGCTCCCAATAGGCGATTTGGCACCAGCCCTTACTACCAATAGTGCTATCTGGAATGGAAAATAAAAGATAATTAATGAAAAAAACAAGAAATGAATCTAAATTCGGGATTCCCAAGATTGCAGTTTGCAATAGAATTACAGGATCGAATCAAAAATCAATCATAACTAAGCTTAAAACATTCGAATTGTTTGAATCGATAAATCAAGTTTAAAACTCGCATAACTTAGCCAAAAAAGAAATTAAATTCAATTCGGAAAGCGTTCCTATGCCAGTTATTATAAGGTTAATAAATCTGCCTACTCGATTTAAAATTGAAAAAAATTCAAATGTTTTGGAAATTTTTGATGATTTTAACTCCTTATAAAATTTCAAAAAAAAAATTTGGACAAATTTTTTTGTGCCGAAAATGGCTAAATCGATTCGGCTTTTGATGCTGATTAAGAATATATATGATTTATAGGGTTGGAAATGACTCCTTCACAGCGTTCTGACTGATAATACCTTCCAACCTTATAATAGGAAGCATATCAAAGCATATAGATCAAATTTATGAATATAATACAATACTTTACATAAAGATTAAAGAAAACGTTTAAAGACTGCATTGTCAGTTTAACATTGCTCGCTAATTTATAGGCCACAATGTCAGTTTAACATGTTAACTTATTAACCAGATAGTCAACTAATTGAATTCTTAAATATGCCAATGATTAAGGCATTCCCGTAAATAACTATTATTCAAATTTTCGAACTTGTAACCCCGCATACAAAGTGTACACATCAGTGGCAATAACTCTTTCGCCGGCTAATAAAGTTTGATTTAAAATTACAATAATATCGGGGCAGTAAAGCACCCACCCACCGCCTACCGCTGACTCGTTTCGAGATGAATAGAATGAACGAGTCGCAGTCGCCCGCACACTCACATTACGTTCACACTCACTCACACACTCACTTGTGTGTGCTCAGACATTTAAATGGTAATAATTTTGGCGCCAGGGCATTACGTAAACAGACCGGCGTCGGGCTTGTTGGGCTTTATTGTGTGTGTGGTATATTCATTTGTGCATATATAGCGCCCTGTACGACCGACTGACTCTGTATATATTTAACAAAAAACCCACCGCACCGAGAGTCTGTTTATGGGTTCATTTGTATATTCCGATTCCGAACGCGTGTCGGGGGCAATAACAAAGTGCGAAACAAGTGCAACTCTCTATTCAAAATCCTTGCTAACGAGACTAGTTAGAGGTGTGTGCATATGTGTGTGTTTTCAGTACAAATTATTTAATATTTACGATCCCATAAAATTGTTCATAAATTTTTGAAATTAATATATTAATAGGCTTTGAAATACCTCTGCAACGTGCCGTTTTAAAACGATTATTTTATGTTTGTATATTTTCATTCCTAAGAATATCTGCATATTTTATATATTGATTAATAATGTATACGTTAATCATAAATTTAGGTTTATTATTATTTTCTTTTTTATAGCCTTGCAGGGTATTATAATTTCAGTCTGTGAACAGTAAGTATCTATGATCAGTAAGTATCAATGAACTTTAAGTAACTGTGATCAGTGAGTAACTATGATCAGCAATTAACTATGAGCAATAAGTAACTCTGAACAGTAAGTAACTATGAACAGTAAGTAACACTGATCAGTATCTATGATCAGTAAGTATCTATAACCTGTAAGTAACTATGATCAGTTACTAACTTTGAACACTAGTAACAATGACTTGCAACTTTTGTAACACAACACATTTCTGAGACTAGGCCGGCAGCAGCCACTTCGTTCCGGGGATGTTAGAACCAGTTGGGAATCATATGCACACATGTGCGAGATTTTTTTAAAACAATTTTGAATGAAACTGTAGAGTTATTCTTCTATATAATTTTACTAGTATTTAAGTAGAAGCATGGCAAATCGGTGGACTATATACATATATACATATATATAGCTGCCATAGGAACAATCGGAAAACTAAGGAAAAAATTATAATTATAATTTTCATTAAATTTGATATATGTATATGAAGCCATTATATATTATTCTAAAATTTGGTGTACAATTTTATGAAAATCAGACTACTATATCATATATCTGCCATTACATTAGAGGAAAACGCAAAACTGTAAATATAAAATGTTCTTTAATAATATAATATTTTACAATAGAAACACATTAAGCTAAAAACAATTGTAAAACGAAAACTTAAAGGCTTTAACACAATATACTCTTGTTGCCTTAAAAGGTTAAAGAGGTTTTAAATCTTTAACAATTGCAGCTATTATTTAATTCCTATCAAATCATTAATTAATTAAGTGTTACTCAATGACCCCCTTTTGTTGAAGACACCCCTTGTTTTCGCATTTATCAATCAACAACAATGAACTCAAACCATCCATTGTAATGCAGTACAGTGCAAATATTGCGCATACGCCATGGCAGCCAGCAAAGCGAAGTGCAAATTGCGGCAATGCCAGCGGGTCGATAGTCGATTGGTTCTTTAGTTGGCCCATAGTTGGCCATTGGCAAGAGCCAATTCGAGAAATATGTGCGCGCACAATCGGTCGGAAAATCAGAAAATCAGAAAAAATCGGAAAATCGCAAAGCGAAAATCGCAACAGGGGGAAAACAGCAACAATGGCCAGCACGCGCTCGCCGAGAATAAATTTGAACGAAAGGCCGCCGAAAGGCGCAAAGGCCAAGCCCAGACGGGTGGCGCCAAGTAAAAATATATCGCAATAAATCCGTAGACGGCTTTTAAAAATTTTGCATGGCAAAGAATGTGTGGCGAAAAGCGGGAAGCGCCGGCGACGGGAAGCGACGGAGACGGGGGCGTTGAACGTCCGACGTTGGACGCTGCAAGTGGCGCCCGTCCGATGTTTACCTAATTAGGTCGACGCCGGCAATGATTCCGTCGCACGTCGCGCCTCGCCATGGCCACGAAATATTGTTTACCCCACCAGGCTGGCGTCGGGGGCTGGGGGCAAGCGAGTGTGTGTGTGTGTGTGTGTGTGTGTGTGTGTGTGCCCGCCGAGTCAGCCAGGGTCGTCAGGTGAAGTTGATCCAAGAGAAAGGTGATTTTGGAAAATTGGGTAATCGAGTGCAATCTCAAACTGGTCAGGATTATATATTTGTTGGTTGCTGGTAGCAATAACTCTTCCTTGTGAGTTAAGTTTTTATAAGATTCAGGCATTCTTATAGTTAATACTTTGTTTTAAATAAATTGTAGAGAAAGTTTTAGTCGGGTTTAATGGAAAAATGTTTATAAATCTTTCGTTTTCGAAAAGTTTTCCTCTTAGTTTCACTTCACCCTGTTCCTAAAAAAGAATGCATCTTGGGAAGTATAAGATTTTCTTTATTTTGTTTATGTTTATTGCCTAATGCATGGGTTTTTTGTTGAAGTCTGACATTTACAAAAGAAAATCTGATATTTCGAAACCATTTATCTGAAAACTTTTTCAAGATATTTACCTGATACAAAGATACTTTTAACGAATGCCAATTTAATTTTTTCATTTTATTTTTGAGAGCCTTAATTTCCCTTAAAAACAATCAAAATAACTTCAAAATAACTACAAAGTAATTAAATAAAATTTGTATTTGAAATACTGCAAAGGTTTTGTTTTTGAAAAATGCACCTACTGCATTCTTTTATTTTTCCTGTGCTATATACAATATTTGTGTAAAATCGTAGCGCCGTTTCATGGCTGTTGTGTTCCCCTTGCTAATATTTATGTAAGTAGGTACATAAGAGTACATACGTTCATACATATGTACATTTGTGTTGGATGCCCGAATCCACGGGCTGCTACATCATCTTTAAATTTAGAATATTTTATCTTCAATCTGTGCGCCTGTGTGGGTCGAGGCAGTGGCCTGTAAGTTTCTTGGTGGCCCACATGTGCTGCTCTCAAGGAATCGATCCGTTCTCCACATAGTGCACCATATAGTGGAGTCCCCTGAACCCCCTCACTATTGGTTGCACTTAATGGAAATTGAGTAATTGAAACGATAACTTTAGATTGTAGTTTTTTGTCTAATTAAGCTCTACAATGTCTTTGATTCTGACTTATGATAAGGTAGTGCTTTTAATCAAAAATAAAACATTAATGGCTTATGTTATTTTAGATTACGAACCCAATGGAAACCTACTAAAAATGCTTATAATTGAGATTGTGGATTTATTAAAAATAAAAGGTTTGTAGAGGTTTATCAAGTCCATAAAGATGATTGTTTTACACCTTAAAGATGGATAGTTGGAGTGATTATGCAACATAACTAATTATCCTTCTATTCCCCTAACATCTCTATAAATTTAAATACCCCATTGTTCACCTTAATTTCCACAACACCATTGACTTATCAAGGAATATGCAAAATATGTGCATTTGTCAAAACTCTAATGGGAATTAATCAATTTTGAGAAATTTCAATCTATTTTTAACCGGCCTGTCACCCAATCGTCGTAAAGCCGCAACTTAACGGTCCATTTAAATGTAATAGTTTTCCGTCATTTTGTCGCCAGTACAATGCCATAAAAAAGTCAAATATACAAAAGTCCAATACGGCCAGAGTGTGTGTGTGTTCGGTGTACGAGAGCGTGTGTGTGTGTTCTGGCCAGTTTCACGGTGCCGTCTCAGTCGCCGGGTAATGCCGCGAATGATATCATTGGCCCATTGACGTGGTTGAAGGGATTGGTGGGGCCAAAGGCCCCACTTCGAGACTACAAAAACATGAGACTCTTTTTAAACATGGCGAAATAGCGGGGGTTTTTTTAGGTAAAACACCAATAAAAATTTTGGACGACAGTGCGTCAAAGTAATTGCAAAGATAAGGATTTGAAGGTAATATTTATTGCACCATAATTGATTCAATAATTTTGAGTTCTATTTAACTGAAACTATTGGTAATACTTTCACAACTAAGCTTAAAGTATTTCTTTTTTAACTGTACTTAATTATATTTATATAAGCCAAGTTTAAACAATTTATAACTATGCCAATAAAGCATTAATTTTAATTTTGAAAACTTTATTATGTTAGTTTTTAATGGGTTAATAAATTTGGCTAGATCGACTCGACTTAGTATGCGGATCAAGAACATATATGAATATATATATCGGAAATGACTTCTTAATAGGTTTACAAATTTTGACTGCATATTTAATGCCCTGCAAGAATATAATTATAAAGTCTTTGATCTGAAATATCCACAAAAATTGAAATAAATTTAACTTTATCGAAATGCTTCTTTAATATTATAACAATCACTTCCCATTTCGCTAATAAAACACCCCTCTCTTTGAAAATATCACGTATACGCCACTGATTCTGAGCGAAGCACACTCTTGTAAGTAAGCGCAAAGATTGTGGCGCCGTCGAGAGCGCCAACTCACCTCGCTCCGCTCCCCATTCTCCCCCTCAGCTACTCTTCCGCACACCCACTCTGCCTCCTCGAAGCTCTCTCTCTCTCTCTCTCGCCGCTTGTGTTTGTTTTTCGCTCATTATTTATTTTCATTTCGTTTTTGCTGTTTTCGCTTAAAAGTTAATATCAATATAGAAAGTGACGACCTGACGCGGCAAGCTGGCGCCACGAGCAACTTGTCTCTCTCAGACATACATACATACGCTCAAACACACACGCACACACTCGGCCCCAAGTGCCTCGCACACCTACATGGCGAAATAATCGCAACACCGTGTGCGCTCTCTCCCTCTCCCCGTCGCCCCCTGATAAGGTCAGGCGGGGGGGCCAAAGAGAGAGAGAGAGAGACGGGGACTGGATGGGACTGGAAAACTCACCTTTCCCGTCAGTGGCAAACGACTCGAAAAGCTGCGGCGTCGGCGACGGCGTTGGTGACTCCGTCCTCTTGAAGATGCTCGACGCCGAAATGCTGCTGCTCCGCGCACTCCACGTGCTCAGCGCCGCCGACTCTGTGTCGTTCTGCAAGTCTTCTTCGGGATCTGCAAGAATCAGGCATTAAAGTCATCGTATTGGCCCGGCTTGGAAAGCTCTCCCCAATTTGGAGCTGGAATTACCTGCATCTTTCAGTCTCTGCATTTTTGAGCGATGGTATGGCGGCGGTTGGGGTTCTGAAAATAAGAAGGGAATATCGTTAGATATCTTGAAGATACATTTATCATGGGTTCTTAAATATTGTAACTTCAAGATTCAAGGGTTCACAGTTATAAGTGTAATATTCTTTAAGCTTAACTGCAATTTTAATAAGGGATACTAGGTTCTTATTATACCATTTATTGTATTATTTATTTGTGAAAAAAATATTTCAAAAGCATATATAATAATATTTCATGAATATTTCTTAAGAAATTCATAATATTTGAGTCAATTTATTTATCTAAAAGAAACTATGTATGTGGAAAATAGATTTACCCAGTTAAGAATTTTATATTCAACGACCCATAGGTACTATACCATCGCATTTCTTCGAAAAATCATCAAATTCTTTTTTTGAATGATTTTTCGAATCATTCATAATCAAATTCGCAGTGTTTAGGGACATGTTCATGGTTTGATTACACTCATTTTTTGAGTTAATCAAAAGTTCGAGTTATAAATGCGCGTCTTCTAGTGGGTCGCACATCGTGATGATGAGATCATGGTTCGGATCACAAAAACTAATACATACTAGTGTTCAGATCGAATATTTCTACGGCAAATCAAAGCGAAACAAAAACAGAGAGGAGAGGAGAGAAGAGAAGAGATGCGAAGAGAGCACAAAAGCCAAACAAAAACAAAGGCGGAGGCTGATCGGAGAAGGAGGAGGAGGTGGCGAAACCCCAGCGTAAGCGTAAGCAAGCCAAACATCGGTCGGCGATATATAAATAAATATAGTAATCTTTGCATATCAGGCAGCAGGCAGCAGCAGCAGCAGCAGCAAGCGGTCCCGAAATGGGGGACATTTTATTGGCGCAGCGCAGAAATCGTTTGATCTGCGGCGCTGTGTTTAATCTCGCTTACATTCTACTCCACTCCGTTTTCATTCTTCTCTCATTTCACTCCCAAAAAACAAAAACAACTAAAAAAAATAAAAATAAAAAACACACAAACGGAACGGAACAGGTCGTATTTGATGGCAAAAAAGATCCGCACAAAACAAAAGCCTCAATGAATTGCTCGTCGGAGCCCAAGATATTATTCATTCAATCCAATAAACTCAATAATTTATGAAATGTCGCATTAACATTTTAGCGGTTTAATTATAAAACTCTTTACTTTAGTTATGGGATGGCAAATATATGGAAAGTAATATCAATTAGGGTTCGAGCAAGGTGATTTAATTTTATTGCTCTTATTATTAGGGGGAAAAAATATAATATTTAGTAGAAATGGGGTTCATTTGTTGGGATATTTATTTAGAATATTATATTATGTATTCTATATATATTAATATTTTAATTTCATGAAAATTATAAAAATTTATCTACATAAAAGACCTTCTATGCATTTTAAATCCAAGTAAGGTAAAAGTAACTTAATTTCTATACATAGCTATAAAGATCTAAAGTCTGTATATGTATAAATTCAAAATCATAAATAGATTCATTTAAAATCTACATTAATTTTATGGCATAATAAATTTTCAATAAACAATCAAATCTAAAATGTTTGCCAAAGCTTTAAAGTTATTAAAAGTTAAAGGGGCACGGCAATATATGTAAAATCAACCATATTTAAAATGGGCTTTACATATGAATGGGACTGATTAGCTTAAACGCAATTCATTCTATATAATCAATAAAAATTGTTAAATAAAATATAATAAAGTCTAGAACAAAAGCAGCCGGTATAAATGCAACAGGTAAAGTCAGCACAGATTTCAATCTGCGATGAAAGATCTGTAAATGCTCTTGGTATTCTGACGGCGCATAAATCGCTTGATGTGCCTCGTCAACGGCGCCCAACGACTCGACTCGACTCAAATGTATCTGTATCTGTATCTGTATCCATACCCATACCCTTGCCCGTTCCCGTGCCCATACCGTATCGTCTCGGTTCTCCAAGCCCCAATGTACCAGTTAAACCTGATTACGAGCAACGGCGGCGGTGGCGGCGGCAGCCGCGTCATCGACGCCAACGTCGAAAATCTAACAATTCTTAAAAAAAAGCACGAGCGCCGCAGCGAAACCGAAACTGAAACCAAACCGAAGGGAGAGCCAGAGCCACCAGTCCCCAAACCCCACATCCCAATCCCCAATCCCCAGTCCATTCCATTCCAGACCCCGCTGTCAACAAACTGATGGATGGATCGTATGACCAGTCGGCGAAATAGCCATAGTCAACTGAATAATATCCATGCTTCTGGGGTGCTATATATAGTTATAGTCTGGCTATACTGAGTCAGATTCCAGCAATTGAAACCGTAGCATGCCCAAGACTTTTGCAGTTTTATTTACCAGTCATGTCCCAGATTCAGATTTTGATCTAATTAAGCGAATTTGGTATTGATTACATCTAAAATTTCTAGAATTCTATTTCATAATTGGGGTTTCAGGGAATATAAAGTGTATAAAGATTGTAAATTGATCTAGTTTCTGACTCTGAATCAATTCATTTTGGTATTCCTTAAAATCGAATTCAAGAATTTTAGATTTGAATATGTAGCTTTTAAGATATTATAGATCCAAGGTCCATGGTTTCTAAATTTCTATTTAATATTTATGGTTTCAGGGGATATAAAGATTCGAAATGAATTCAGATACAGATACAGATTCAGCAAGGATCGTATTTAATTCCTCTTCATATTCCTTAGAATCTAATTCTATTATTTTGAATTAAGATATCTTAAAGATTTTTTATTTTATGTTCCTGACTTTCGAGTCAAACATTCTGAAGGCATTGCTTACATCTAAGATTTCTAGGATTCTATTTTATGTTCAGGGTTTTAATAAAGTATATAAAGAGTACAAATTAATCCAGATACTGATTCGGTTTAAATCATATTCAATTCCTGTTGATTTAAATATAGATATAGAGTTTAGATATGTATCTTAAAGATTTAGGTGCCTGACTCAACAAAATCTATAATTCTTCTGGTAAAACCCCTCTTTAATTCTATTAAAAATTAAAGCCAAGTTTATTAAATGGCAAAGTATGATCATTGTATCATAGACACGACAACACATTTTTGCACTTATGAAAAGACAGAAAAAATAAAATGACAAAATCCAACCCAGAGTTTAAAATTTAATTTTTTTGTTCAAAGAAAATTGCAAAAGCCTGCAAGGTAATTAGTCAAGTTCCCCTTTAGGACCACTCAATAAGCCCGAAACAATGCTGACCAGCAAAAAATTAAGTAAAAAAAAAGATATGGAAGTAAATGTGTATCTGTAGCCACTCTACAGGAACATACAAAGCCCAGAGAGAGAAGTCCAAGCCCTTGTGGACAACAACAGCAACGGTCGACCAAGAACCGCACCTCTCAATGGGTTCCGTCCGATCCCATCCGATCCGATCCGATGGATGGGGCCCTGGCACGCAAAATGATCCTTTTTATGGGTGCTCGCCTGTTGCGGAGGAAGGGTCCGAGTCGAAAGACTGCCACCAGCGAGCGGCGACCACTTCGTCGTTACAATTCCTGGAATTGTGTTCCCCGATGCCGATGCGGATGGAATAACATTATCGACTTGTTTAATGTGTTCGGCGCCATCATTAAAAAACCAGTCACTGTCGGGACGTCCCGTCCATCCGCCGTCCGTCCAGACGATGACACAGCCAGCGGAGCAGGAGGCGGGCGGTCGCCTGTTGCACAGGTAAGTGGCACACACAGGTAAGCCATAAGGCACTCAAGGTAAGGTAAGGCAAGACAAGGCACGATGGCAAGGGAAGCTGTATTTGTATCTGTATCTGTACGAGTATCTTTCGCCGCAGAACGGCACGAACAGAGTCTTCATGTTTCCCAAAAGATTGTGTTCTGTGCACAGGAATGTCGGTATAGACATGCCTTTTTTTGCCATCGCGCATCTACGGTGATTATCGGTTGTTAGTGGGGGCACTCTCTGAAAATACTGGCAAAAAAAACGACGGCGATCTTTATCTTACCGGCTATTAAGCATAAAATCACAGAGTAAACATATACGATTTCCTAATTAATTTGTTTACAATCAACCCATAATCTCTGAGATGGCACTCATTATGGGCCTTTATTCAGCACCTGACTTATCCAAAGATAACTATTTATATTATAGATCGTATAAAAAACGTATGTATCTTTAAGGGGGAACTTTAGTTTTACGCATTTGAGTTAATAACCTTATGAATGCTTAATAGTTTTGTCACAGAATGAAGATATTTAGTTTCGAACTAATCCTTTATTATATCTTCCTTTGAAATGGAGTAATCCTAAAGATACATCTATGTATCTATGTTTAGTTCTTAGAATTCAATGAATGAGTGCGTGTTCCTAATCTTTAAAATTAAGCTTTCCTGGAGCTCTTTTGATTTGTAACATAAGAATTCAACTTAGCAACTCTTTTCCTCTTCCCTGTTTAGTTTTCTGCACATGTGCGTTTTTGTTCCAGTTTTAGGTTAGAACCGCTGAACGATTGATGAAAACAACCCACACACTTATGATGTATTACATGCAGTTTAGTGCTGATATAATAGTCCGATTAGATTAAAACCAGAACGAATGACTGGCCGGTTGTAAGCTCGGTCGAGTGATACGCACGTTCTAGATAGTGTGCAATTCGATGGGGCACAGTAAAATTGTCCAGCGACAGCAGGGGGGGTTATTAATAAATCGGATTCATCATATATATAGCATATAGTATAGTACCTATGATAGAAAGCTAATACCATGGCAATGCATCTTTGTATCTTTGTATCTGAACCATGCCCACACACATGCTAGTGCAATATTTGTAGAAGTACAGATAACAAAAAAATAATAGTGTTTCCCTAACAAACAAATTTTTAAGTAGATTCTTAGCTTAAGAAAAACTTTAAAATTTATTTAAAAAAATAATAATAGGAAACTATAAAAAACCGGAAATGGAATCAAAATGACAATCCAATCCAAAGTTATTTCCGTTATAGTACTTTTATTCTAAAATGGTTTAAGAAATATATCCATTTAATTAGAAATTTGTAAGTTAAAAATATTAATTAAACTATTCAAAGTGGAGATTTTTTTCTTACTTAATATTTTTTTTTTATACGAGAAGTGTGTGCATGCGCATGCTAAAAATAAAAACAAACAAATCGGAAGGCGTACATATGTATGTATATGTATATGCATATAGACATGCACCGATGTTTGCCCGACTGTACATAGTGCGAATGGGATCTCTAAACGATGCGCCAACTAGCTGGTGGCGACGGATATGCCGCGGCCCCAACTACAGTGGAGCTTCCCCCAGTGGACTCAATGCAATTGCAATTAAATTGATATATATTTTTATACCCTTGCTGGGTATTATAGTTTCAATTTAAAGCTTGTAACGCTGTGAGGAAGTTATTTCCGACCCTATAAATCATATATATTCTTGATCAGCATCAACTGCCGAATCAATCAAGACATGAAAAATTATTTTTTTAAAAATGGTCGAATTTTCAAAATTTCATAAGTGGTTACATCGTTAAAATTTTCAAAATCGGCAAAAAGTTTAAATAATTTAATACTTTAAATTGAGTATGCAGATTTATAAATCTAATAAAAACTTAAATAGGACAGCTTTTCGAATTAAAATTAATGCATTTTTTGGCTTAGTTATGAGATTTTTAAATATTGAATTGTCGGAAAATTTTTCATATAAAAATCTCAATAAATATTGATTCAAAGAATGCGAATATTTTAAACTTATATATGATCGATATCCAGTCCTTTTCTATATTATTTCTTCTTTATTTAATAATCTGAATGGGAACATAATTTTATACCTTAATAATATAAAACTAAAACTGATCTCGTCTTGCAATATCAGAATATTTTCCAGTGCAAATATCGGTTTGAGTTATAGAAGTTGGACTGTGTTTTTTTTCGAAACGTTCGAGTGCTCGGGACTCTTACTTTGTAATGGTAATGGTAATGGGTATGGGCAATGGGTAACGGACTCCGCCGCCTTTGCTGACTCTGGTGTAGCTTTGGCTTTTGCGTTTGCGTTGGCGACGACGCCTGATTATTTCCTGGCGCCAGTTTCTAAATTTACGCAAATTATTTTCGAAAGAATTTAGTCGCCGTCATGTTGGGCCGACCGTTTGCGTGGCGCTTTCACGCACATTCTCTTCTCTCTACACTCTCTGCAATCTCTCTCCCTTTGCCAGTGTGTGAGTTTGATAAAGGCGGAATCAGCGAGCAAGAGAGCACCGGATTCGGTGGGTGTGTGAGTGTGTGTGTGTATGAGTCTGGGCAAAAGTCAAGGCAGGAACTTGAAATTCAATTTTCTGCGGGAGCAATTTAATGCCTAATACAGACCGGTTGCACCTTGTCTCTTTTCTCTGCTTCTTCTCTCGCTCTTCCAGACCGAAAATACGCCACACACACACAGATACACATAGGCAGAATGCATTGCGAAAAAAATACACAATTTGCGAACGGCGGCGTGTGTGTGTGTGTGCCGCTGGCGCCACCCAATACAAACAAACCAAATCGAATGCATTTGTGTGTGCAATCTACAGTCGCGTTCAGCAGTATTGGCACAGCTGGCCCACAATCGTAAAGATTCAGATAAGGCGGCTTTAATAAAGGCAATCATTATGATTTGACCTTGCTCATAGATTTCCATCGAAATGGGTGGATACATATGTATCCCTAAGATACTTTAATTTCAATCAGAAACCCCCTTTTAACCCCGATTCCTACCTGGCAGGTGCACTATGCGGCACCAGTGCAGCGGATTGCAGCACGTGTAGACGCAGTCTTGGACGCTTTGGCAGGCAGGCAGGCGCTTCAGCTCCTCGCCGCTCCTCAGACCCGGCCAGAAGAAGAGCCGGCTGGCGGTCACATACTGCTCCCGATCCGCACGCGTTGAGCACGGTATGAGGATGCACTGCAGGTAGGTGGGCGGCGTTGTTGTCGTCAAGGCTGTGGCGGATGAGGAGGAGGTGGTGGTGGTGGTCACGGCATCCCGTTGCGTCTTCGTGGGCAAATCCACGCGACTCTTGACGGCCAGCAGGAGCTCGGCAACCTGCTTCCGCTTCAGCGGCTTTATCAAGGCATCGAAATCCTCGCGCTGGCGTCGCAAACTCTGCGCTTGGACTTGGGCCGGCGTTTGGTTGGCTTGGTGGGCAGGAGATGCTTGCATCATGGCTGGAATTGAGGACGTTGATGATCCGCTGGTGGATTCCGTACCGCTGCCACAGCATTTCCGAAACATGGTCGCAAAGGTGTTGGCACTCGGTAGCCGGCGATCCACCTGTTGCTGTTGCTGCTGCTGCTGCTGCTGCTCCTGATACCGATTCCGTTCCCGTTCCCGCTCCAGATCGCTTTCTTCGATCAACATATCGTCGCAGGAGTTTGCGCAACTGCAGCCAGGAGCGGTACAGCAACGGTCGCAGGCCGATCCGCAGCTCAGTGGTGATAGTTCCCGTTCCCGGGGATTTGGCAGGCGGCGATATGGATGGCTGTGGTTGTTGTTGTTGTTGTTGTTGTTGTTGTTCTGGACTGGACTCTGACACGAGGAGCCGGAGCAGTCCATGGCGCAGGGCATCGAGTTGTAGGGTGGCGGCGGCGTCTGGCGCATGGCCAAGGAGTCCTCGTCGCAGGAGTAGCCCAAGGATGGAGGATGCGGAGTCAGCTGCTGTTGCTGCTGATGATGATGAAGATGAGGGCGGGGTCGATGTGGAGGGGGCGGCGGCCGTGGTAGCTGGGAGGGCGGCATTGGTGGCACCCCTTCGCGCGTACCCGGATTGTTTTTGAGCGCATAACGCCATAGATCTTTCTTCTTTTCGCTTGGGAATATCATGGAGGGACATACAATTTTGCGGTAACATCGATCCTATTGTATGCGCATTATTTGTAGTTGACTAACTTGGTTCGCGGACTCGACGGGGCCGGCTAGTCACGGTATTTGTTAACTCTATTAAAGTGGTTTATTTATTTTCTTTAGTTTCACGGGTGGGTCTTGGGAACTGGGAACAGACGGGGTTCCGGTTCGGGTGAAGGTTCTCGGGAGGAGGTCGGGAAGGGTCTGTCTGCAACACTCCTCGTATCACTCGTGGGCTTTGATATGCCTTCGTTGCGTTTGATATGTATTATCCAGTGGTGTTGTGCACTCTGCAATAAAAGAGGAATATGTTGATTAGTCACGGGCTTAATTGCTCGTCCCCAGCAGTGTTATGTATGTATAAATATGCACTCGTGTTTATGCAGGACACTGGCGGTAGTAAAGGGGATTTTGAACCGGGCCTAAAGGCATGATATCACTTTGAAGGGTAATATAATATTATAATAATATTTAAAGTCTAAAAATAATTATTTAAATCAGGCCTGAAGGCATGCTCTTCGTTTAAAGGATCATTCAATAAAATTATAATAATATATAAAGTCAATAAATAATTATTTGAGCTGTCTTTCTAAAAAAACTGTTTCAATATTTATTCAGAGAGAATTATACATTAGGTAAAAAGAAAATATAATTGAGTTCGACGAAAGAACTAAAATTTTACTCAAGAGTAGTTTATATTGCTTAAATTAAACTGGTTAAGAAATACTTCAATTGAGAGATTTTATCCTCTCACCAAATACAAATTATATTGACTGTATAGGTACTATAATTTCAGGGTGCTTTATGCATTGTAGAAGATTAAAAATAATGAAAGAAATCATAATTTTTTAGGAAAAACCCTTTCTGATATCACTAAAGTCACCAGTAAGTGTCTGCGAAAAATAAACAAGGATGCAGGATGTAGCCTACTTTTTAGCGTATATTTTGGACGTCAGCGTTTCTCTCTCTTCTCCATTTTGTGGTTTTTCAGTTTTAAGGTTTTAGGTAGAATAGTAATTATAAAAATAAATAAATTTATTAAAACCTCTATTTTTGGGGATTTCTGATTTATAATTTCCATTAACCCACACTAAATCTTTATGTAGCCCAGTCCAAAAATTTCAAATACAACTAAAGCAACTCTTATTCATTCGAAATAAAACGAATCTTTGATATTGTTTAATATTGAAAACTATTACTTATTTTTCTTTCTTTTCTTTTTCCAGACTTTATATGTATCGATCCCCCTCCGACTTTTCCAGCCTACGTCCGTTGGTTGGAGACAAGCGAGGAATCTGCTGCTTCCAGGCTGCGGATCGCTTGAGTGAGTAATGTGCCCCCCGACCGTCGGAGCCAGGCCACACCGAGCAAGAGATCTGTGTGGGGCAGCATCAGCTGTCGGTGGGACAGAGATGGAGCAAGCGTAGAGGGGATGGGGGGACTGAGCGAGGCATTTTCATTTCCATTTTGTTGCTGGCATTTCTTGCGCTCCTTATCGACGACAAAAGTGGCGCCGCCGGCATGACGGCAGCAACAACAACGCCCCAGCCACAGCAACAGCAACAGCAACAAAATTACGAGCCCCACAAACACGCTCACCGACAACACACAGCCGCACTCACTCACTCACTCACACAGACGCTTACAGAATGCTTGCGTGCAGAGCAGCGAAGGCAGGGCGGGCGAGCGAGCGAGAGGGAAGCGCCTGGCGCCACTGACGTAATAAAAGAAATAATAGTAACGATGTCGGCGGCAGAGGCGGCAGCGCCGTCGTCGGAATGGCGCCACACCAATATAAGCTTATATCAGACAGACACGAACGAGGGGCGACGCGACGGTCGGTTTGTCAGCCGGTTTGACAAGTTGAAGAATCAACAATTTAAGGTTGAGGTGAGAGAGATATAAGAGAGCACACATAGTGAGAGAGAGTGCAAGAGAGTCCCATATGTGTGTGTGTGTGGTGGGAATTGGTCGCAGATTCGGAACGGAACTCTCCCAAAAGCGATTCCAGAATTCTATGGGCTCCAAAAAGTTCTGTATCTCTTTTAAGATTTCAAAATGTACCTACACACATATTTTTTAAAATCTACAAGTTTAGCGGAGTTTTTGTATAGATTTTATAGAGCTTGCAATTGTTTAAATGTTTGAATTGGTATTATTTAGTTCTTAAAATTTAGAATTCAGATATTTCTATCAGTTTTGAATTCAACTATTACCGCCTCCTATTTAGAGCTAACAGATAACTATTTGTTTGTTAATAATTTATTAAGATTGCATATCTTTTGAGTTACAAGTATATTGAATAATACACGAAGGTTTTCTTTAATGTTTTAAACTCTTTTTAAAAAATCAGAGCTAAGATTTTCAATTTCCTTTAAACCTTGCTATACATATTTCCCCTACAATTTTTGAGAGTACTTTCTTTACTTTCTACCTCTCATGACGTTTTATGATTTTAAAAAGTTCCCCAAACTATTTATCTACAAGTATGCTTTATCCAAAGCCAATGTGAATTTTGTATTCTAAAATGAAATATTTAAATGCCAAAGCAATAAACAGCCAGTTGAAAGAAAATCTATACACAATCCATATTCAACAGAATTTATTTGAAACTGCCGAGTGATTGTTTTTCCCGATTTCAAGCTTTCATAAATATGTACTTATGCACATGGATGTGTAGGTATGTATAGCTTTTTGTAGGTATCACTTCTGATAATGAAAAGCATGACTAATTGTAAGTTCAATTGGAAACAATCGCTAGATAGAGTCGACGATTTGGTAACAGATACACAACACCTTGATTAGGAGATATGAATTAACTAAAAGTATAATTTATGGGTAAACTTTCAATTATAAAAACTGAGGTACATAGGCAAAAGATACTTTAAAATGATTTAGTAAGAAATATATATGGGCTAAAAAATGGTGAATGAAAAAATATATTGCAGTTTAATGAAAACTTTATTCAATTTTGAAAATTATATCACAAAAAGTTAGAATTTTTTACTAAAAGATTAACTTTTGTTATTTTAGATCTAAAATCTGATAGATAGAATCAACAATTGACTAACAGATTCAAATATCTTTAAGCTACTTTATATAAACTTCACAAACAGATTTTTAAAATGAAATAACTGACTCTAAAATTGGTATTTTTAATTGAATTCTTGGTAGTATATCACAATATACCTTGATACCTTTTTTAAGAAAACTAACTCTATATTTCTTTATTTTTAGTATCTTAAGTGTTATCTTTACAAAACCAACCTTATTTCTTCTACCACAACGTTGTTTGCATAATCACGAGGTCTAGTGCATAGATAATTTATAAAACATTAAGGGAGATACTTACTGTTTCAAGTATATTTTAAAATTGATATCCGCTTCAACCGTTTTTTGATATGTATTTTTAGTTTGCCATCCATGGGATAAATTACATGGGCATTTGATATGTTTGGGAGTACACTTGATTTGTTTTAAATTTACATTGGACTGCAGAGGAAATCAATTATTAGTATTATATTGCACAATGAATTTTATTTCGGTTTTAACACGTGCCGGTGACGGTTTTTGTTAGATTTTTTAAATTTTAATTTATGGATTGGTAATCGCAGTCTTATTTTCTGCACCGTCTTGCAGATACAAATGTGTGTGTGTGTGTGTGTGTGCTAATGAGGTGCGAGTAATGTGTTGATTTCAAGCCGAAAAAAGAAATAATAACAAAATCAACGTGGTGGAAAAGGTGCTCTTTTTGTTTTCTTGTTTTGCGCTGCTTCAATTCTGCCGGCGCCGCTGCCGCATCTATACATATACGAACGTCTCGTGTGTGTGTGTGTGTGTGTGGTTGTGGCCCAATGCAGGTACAATATGTGTACGTGGCTGGCGAACAATTGCACTTCTTTTCTTTTCAGTTATTTGCACAGTTAAAGTTTGGGTTCCAACACACACTCACGCACACGGGTTTATTATTTGTTGCTTTTCTTTTGCCTATTGATTTTTAATTTGCGCTCACATACACACGCACTCACACACACACACGTCCGCAGCGAGAGGCAAATGGGCGAGCGAGCTCGCAAATTAACACAATCTCCAATTGGAACTTGACAACGTGATCGGAGATCCGTAACAGTTAGAAGAAAGGCTGGAAAAGCCGGGCGAAGAGCGAAGAAGCTCTTCTCTTGTGGACTACATACACACACATACACACTCAGGCACAGAGGCAGCACACAAATGCATAGGAATTCATAACAGCAAATAAGCGTTTTTCAGCAATTTCCAATCCATACAATTTTCACTTCGATTCCTCAGTTTTCACTCACACTTTATGTATTATGTATTTTTGCTCTTTCACTTTGATTTTCTTTTCGTGGTGGTAACGGGGCAAATAGTTTTCGAACTCCACACTTGTAAACAACAACGAAAAGTTCGTGTTCCCGTTTCTAGAAATAATAAAATACGAAATTCCGGACTTCCGGCGCTATCTAGAGTTTCCGCACACAAAAAGTATCATTTTATGGGATTAATCTGCTTGAAATGGTTTTAAAAACCCATCTTTTTGTTGATATCTTTCGGATGTCGCAACGAGAACGAAAAACACAAGCGGCGCGACGACTATTTATTATTTATAATTTATTTGTTGCCGCTCCTTCTACAAAAAATAAAATCTCAAACATTAACCGTCCGGTGCGTTGCCGTTTGAGTTTGTATCTGTCGGATTTGTATCTGACGGATTTGTTTCTCGCACCAGTGTTGCCAGTTTAGCTTATTTCAGGCTTAATCTGGCGTATTTGAAAATGAAAAGGCTAAACAATTTTGCTTATAGCCAACGGTAACACGGACTCAGAAGCCGAAGCAGAATCCTTAAAAAAATCTTTTAATTTGTATCTTTTGCGAAATGCACGCGGCACACGAGCTTCGTTTCAGTCTTCTTTCGAAATTCAAACTTGGCCCGAACCGTTCACGTTCGCTGTTGGTAAGCAATTGACCCGGCCACACCACGGGTTTTATTCTCCAACTGAATTATCAGCATGTTTTACCCAAACAGTCCCTGCAGCAGTGCTGACAGTTTACCTTTTTTCAGGCTAGACAAAGCATATTATAAATTTTAAATGAAAAATATATGTATATATTTATTTACAAGTGTTTTTATTATTTTAAATATATTAAATAAAAATGCAATCTGTATTTACGGACTTGACATGATTTATTTACACATATGTTAATATTTAACTTTCCCAAATACCATACTCTGTCTACACCGATGGAAACATTCAGTACTTATAAATGTGGCGTAAATTTGCCTTCAATTAATTAAGAAAATAATAATGCTTACATTCTTGGTTATAGCTTTTCCCTTAGCATGTCCCTTTTAATATTTTAGCTAATTTATGATTGTATTTCCTCAGAATCTGGCTTATACGGGTGGCGTAATCGGTCAACACTGCTGACGCTCTCTCTCGGGTCGAACAAGTTGCGTTGCAACACATCGCCTCTCTCAAACACAGATACACCTTGCGCGCACACACACACCCACAACCAACTGAGCGCCATTATTAAGTTCCTCTCTCTCGCTCTCAGCTGATTGCTGTGTGCTCATGGCTGGCAGTGCCATTGGGTTTAGTGTTGAAAAATACAGAAGTTTTCAAATGGCCGCGGTTTTGAGATACTTTAGGGTGTTCAGAAAGGTCCCAATTAAAAAGATACTTTTATATAAATTAATGGTGTAACTTATTACATTTAATTCGAAAAAGATGAATAAGATATCTTTTAAAAAATGAATATTTTATTTTTCTTAAAAGTTAATCAATTTCTGGAAATGTTTTCTATTTAATCCCCAAAATCGGCGAAGTATCTTGCATTTACTTGACCCAACTTACAAATCCTTAATGTACATTAGCCCCTGTTAAGTATCTCACATAAATACGTCGGTTTATATGGCTAAAAAAAAGGGAAGAATAAACCCTAACTCCCTCGATGCAATCAAGAGCGGCGAACCTGAGGAAGCAAGAGCCACATTTAGCGCGTTTTTCGTGGACGCAAAATGTGATGAATGGTTGTGATCAAGGGCATATCAGTTGCAATTGCCTTGCCCATGTCTGTCCGGACAAATGGACAGACGGACACACACACCGCACGCCCATACAAACTGGCGCCCCTGCAGCGTGCCCACTCACACATGCGCACACCACCGAGGATGGGATCGAACACGGTGAGAAAAAATGTCTACGTATATACAGATAATATATACCAAGATTTTGTTTAAAACAATATTTTAAAAGAACCGAAAAACTTTATCAAATGCTTATTATTAAGCTAGAAATTATTAATTGTAATTATTTTATTCTGTTCATCTAAGTATGCATTTTTTCGTGCAGTGCAAATTGCAGCAGGAACCCTGCTTGCTTCGTCAGTTCCAGCAAAAATACATAATTGTCTCTCGTTTGGACGACTCGAAAACACAAAAGCAAATAGGCTCCCGTCATTACGATAATAACAGGTCGGGAACAGAGAGAACCCAGTCGGCCACTTGTGGAGTGGAACTGTCTTCCGACCGGTGATCTTCTTCTTCGCAGGAGGAATTCGATCGCCGCGAACCGCGGCGTCGTCGTGAGCGTTAAATAACCAAGAGTCGGAGGAGTCGGTGGAGTCGTGGAGTTCGGGAAGAGGTTTGGGGGCTCGAAATTGGGATGGGGATCGGGACAGCAGGCCTCCGTCTTGTGGAGGCATTACCTCTGGACGGGACAGCAGCAGAAGTTTGAATACATTATTTTCTTGTGAAGCCAAAAGACATTCCGCAAACGCTAAACAAATAATAAGACAGGCGAGGTAACTTTCAGAGAAGGAGTTAATTATTTAGGTTTAAGCACTAAACAAACTTGGAAAATTAAGATGACTCCAAAACAGGTAATTCGTAAAAGTTTATATAAATAAGAAGCTTATATATATTATTATATATTATATATATTATATTTATGTTTATCCAGAAACGAGATAATATATTTAGAAAGTAATTAAAGGCTTTAAATATAAATTAAATGTCTCATCATTAAGTAAACAAAAATTCTAGTTACACACTGTTTATATTGATTTTTTAAACGCATTTCTTATAAACAATATTACAAATAAACAGATCTGATCTCTGATCTCGCATCGAGTGTCATAATTCTACACGTGCCCATCTTGAGAATTTAATTCCATAAAACTGACGTCATTTATATATAGTATATATGTACAAATGCATAATGTGGCACATAGATTAGCATAAATATGGGCAAGGTGTGTGTGGGAAGGTTTATATAGTAAATGGTCATCTATGAAATCTTAACTCGTCCAACTGTTTACGGGTAAACATGCTGGGAAAATATCGGGTTTCAGTTTCGGCCTTGTTTTTTTCGGGTAGAACAGAAATCTTTTTGGAAATGCCGACAAACTGTGGAATGTTTTCCAGCTCAGGGGGGAAAAAGAAACTATAATTTGCTATGTGCAGAGTTCTTGGAAGTACGATTTGAGGCTGGCAAAAAATGATCTAGAAGATCGATGGGATTAAGATCTGCTTTATTTACTGAATTTCCCACACTGCTGTCAGATTAAACCCGGTCAGGTTAATAAGCTGTAATTGTACTTGATCTGTTGACCTTCTTTTTCCGCTGCCAGAATGATTGTTCAGTTGACAGGGACCCACTTGGGTGGTCATTCATCCTTGAGAGTCCTCATCCTCATCCTCATTCGCATTCACATTCTTGGCGCATCTTCTGCAATCGGCTATCAACAGCCAGCGACTTCCTCCGAAACAGACAAAATTCCTGGCAGAGCGGAAAACCAGTTTTCATCCAACCTTCTTCTTATCCTGTGCAACTCTTTGAGATTTGTACATATTCCCCTTAACGAGTTGCAGGTTGGTTTTTTATTCATTGATATTCACTCTGTTTCTCTCTCATTCTCGATTTTGGTTTTAAGTTTCATAAGCTAATTTTTGAGAGTTCATTCAAAGAAGATAAATCTGAGTAGCGTGTGTCCCTGTTCCCTGAAGTCGGAAGAATTTGTCTGGGCTTTGAGGCTCTTGAAAGCCAGATCAATTTACCTGTTCATTTCGATCAGAGGGATTTGTTCAAAAAAAATATGTCGGTAGGGATCGGAAATAGTTACGATTTAGGTTTTATAGAGAATATTTTTGGATGGTATTTTAACTATTTAAGGGTAATTGCTTGTTAAAATCTTTGAAGTTAAGAAGAGATATTAAGGGAATAGGAATTATTAATTATATTTTGGAAAGAACCTCAACATTTTTCCAAATAATAAACTTTGGTACTTTCAACCAAAGAGTTTTGGAAAATGTTCTAAATATTATTATGTTATATTTATTTTCAGGATAAAATTATCTCATACATTTGTTGTTTTAACACCTTTACAATTCGTATATTATGATTCAAATATATTATTTATTAATTGAGAACTTGACTAACCTGGTTTCTTAGTCATTGATTTATCTAATATATTTTTAAGGGAATATCTCTTGTCTTTTTAAAAACTGCACTTTCTGTTATTATTATTTGTAATATGAGTTCCTTTTTGAATGCACTAATATCGATGGCGCGCGTTTGAATTTGACATTGATGCGTTTCAGCCCGACGTGTCCTGTGGCACATTTCTAAGCCAACTAAGCGCTGTCCGTGGCAGGACGTGTCCTTTTATAGCCACGGATACGGGTGCGCACTTGGGACTTGTAGCACTGCGCACGGACGCGGACTCGGACTAGCCGGCGGCACGGAAGAATCATTGGACAAGGCGCCGTCGCCGCCGCCGTCTGAAGCTAGCTAGCGAGTGGAGTCCGCCTTGGACGCCGACGCCACTTGTCCGCGTCCGCGTCCACGTCCACGTCCCGACTTCTGACTCATTGTCAGTGTAGTCTCCACTCCGGCCATTCATGCACCCAAACTGGCACTGGCTCTGGCACTGGCACATGCATATGTATGGTTGGTTATCCCAGTTTATTGTCTTTCCCCGGGTTTTGCTTTTTTGTTGTGTATGTGTGTGTGTGGGGCACATTAGGTTGTTTGGGTTTTTGTTTGTTTTGGTTTTTTTGGCTACCGGAGCTGGCGGCATCTTGGAATTGAGTTATAATGTTTTTTCAATAATTTGATACTTCATTATGGAATTTATTTAAGTTTGGGCATTATGCATTTGAAGTTGGGTTTGAGATTAGTTAGATTAAGTAAGTAATTATCTAAAAAAACAATGTAAAAGTTGAATAAATAAATACGTTTATTAAGTATTCATTATTTCTACATTTAACTTGATATTTTAGTCACTCAATTATATTTTTATATAAAGTATTCCTTATAAATTTGTTAACTTATTTCAATAGGTAACATTTCTTGACAAAATATTATTATTAATTTAGTCAGGGCTTCTTTTCATACATTTCCTATCGGTCACTAGGTCAAAACTAAATTCAAAATCTAACCAAATCTCTTTGCGATTATCTTGATTAATAAATGTCTTGTTAAGACCCCTAATGCTAACACAACAACAAAAATAAGGAGCTCCGATTAAATTAAAAGAAATTGAGGGACTGCAAAAAGCATAGCGAAGTAAGTACATAAATTTTTAGTTGGCGTCACTAGGCGTCTAGTCTAGTCTAGTCGTAGTCGCAGTGGTGTCTAAGCCGAAACCAATCTGCGCGCCATTTCGTTTTTCAAATGCTGGCTGCCGGCGTCTGACGATGGCGACTGGCGGCCCAAGTTGGCCTAAACCGCACAGCAAGCCCTACTACCAAATGGGAAGGGAAAGTTTACATTTCCCCACCACCCATCTTTCCCGGTGCACGATGACGAACCTTTTGGCAATTGGCGGAGAAATCCAAACAGCGACTCTCATTAACCGGTAATTAAGGTGTTAAATCAAATATAAGCAGGTCGAATGTCAAGTTAATCAGGGTTTTTCTAGGTCAGGTTAATAGAGAGGAATGGGGAGTTAGGGAACATATATAGTAATATCTATATAATAAAATGCATATAGTGAAGCATTGATAAATTGAAAATTATTTATATATATATTTTATTATTATTTTAATGTTGCTAAGCTACATATATGTATGAAAGAAAGAAAAATAACTTCGAGAAGTCAAAATATAAAGAACCGATTATACTTAAGGTTAAAATATTAGCATTGTTTGTATACATTTTTTAAATGACAATTTTTTGGAAAAATCAAAACTAAGCCAAAAGGGCATTAATTTTATTTCCGAAATCGTTCCAATGTGAGTTTTTATTGGGTTATTAAATCTGCATACTCAATTTAAGATTTAAAAAAATTTTAATTTTTCTTAATTTTTTGACAATTTTAACGATGAAACCCTTACAAAATTTTGAAAAAAATTTTTACATTTTATTTTCTGCCAGAGCTACCAAGATCGATTCGTTTGTTGATGCTGTTCAAGAATATATATGATTTATAGGGTCGCAAATGTTTCCTTTTCTAGATTTTTGTCAAAATAAATTTATAAATTACGTATACGCCACAGGGTATAGAATACAACTGCAAATTTACATATTCTAAATATTATGACCTACAATAATTTCTTTTCAATATATTTTAAGTGTTGAACTAGATTAAAAATATTTAATTACAAAAACTGTATATATTTATGTCAAAATGTATTTACACATTACGTATACGACAGAGGGGATAGGTTACAAATGCCAAATTTTTTGGAATATTTTTGTTATTTACACTTAAATATTTTATTTTAAATGTTTATTAAAATATTGAACTAGATTTTCAATAACTATTTTGGAAAAACTCTAGATTTACATATATCAATAAATATGTATTTATAAATTACGTATACGCCGCATGGGCTTACAATTACCAAATTCTTTACAATATTTTCAACTAAAACAATTTATTTTCTTTTATTTAGAGCAAATCTTAGTGATCTGTAATGTATAAAATGACAAGTTGATCTTTGTTTATAATAAAATGATTTATAATAAATGATCATTCAATTCCCTGGGTTCACCCACATACATACATATTAATGTGTCATAATGTGCTCATGCAAAAAGGGGGAGACAACTCCATCCCGCTGGCTCCATTCTCGGTCCCCATCCTCAGTCCTCAGTCCCCCCTCCCCTCCCCATAGAGCGTATCGGCGGCGGTGTCGTCAACAAAAACAACGACCAAATAGACGCGACAATAACTCGTCATCATCGACGCGCCGGCTATTTTCGCATCTAATTGTGAGAGCAGCGAGCGGCGTTTGGCGCGCCAATGGTGGCAATAATAACGGCGCCCAGTGGCGCACACTTGGCCCGTTCGCAAATCAAAGTTCTGCGTATCCGCATCCGCCAGTGTCCGTATCCCGTCCTGGCCAGAACTGCGGGTCCGTGTCTGCTTCGCTCCGCTCCTCGACACAGTCCTGTCGCGTGTTGTCGTCGTCGTTGTCGTTGTCGTGGCATTGTCGGTGTCGCCGAAGGAGCATCGCCGGGCGACTGGTCGCCGCAATCGTCTGTCTAAGTCTAGCCTTTGGTTACACTGGGAGAAATTGCTGGGAAATCGAAGTATAACGTCATATTTTTGGAGTGAAAGAGAGAAAGTTAAGGAAACTAATTTCTGTTACATTTATATACTTTTTGTTTATGTTTAATTTTTAATCTTTGATGTCAAATCTGGTTTAAAAATTTTCCTTTTGTGGAACCCCTATTTTGTTTCAAAAATTATTTAAAACATCTACCACAGTTTCAGTTTTTAAATCCCATAAAAATTGAATATTTCGTTGTATTGCTAGGACTATAAATAAATTTAGGTTATAGAATTTTGTAAATCATTAATTATTATTGTTTTCAATTTATTTCAAGCTTTAATTTAACCCTATATCTACTTATAATAGATAATATTCTTACTTTAATATTCCTTCTTAACAACTCTATTTTTCAAATTGAAAATTTCACCTACTTTTGTTTTTCATTAATTATTATTGTTTTCAATTTATTTAAAGTCTTTAGTTCACCCTTTATTTGACTTGTAATAAATTATTTTCTTACTTGAAAATACCTTCTTAACAACTCTATTTTTAAAATTCAAAATTTTACCTCTTTTAATTTTTCCAAGTGTACGAAATGCTGGCTGCTGGTTGTGGCTGTTTGGGGTGGTCTTGGGTGCGTGGGCTTCGCATCCCTTCGGCGCTGGGCGCTGGGGGACTGGGGGACTGGCACTGCTGCCGACAAGTTGTCGTCTTGGTGACCGTCGCCGTGCCGCCGTGGTTTGGCGTCGCCGACTCAGAAATTTGCAACAATTCTCGAGCGCGCCGCCGCCACTTGTTACGCACTTTGGCGCCTTCCCACAACAAAATGTCCCTTACGGATGACTATGGACTATGGGCCAACTGCCGACTGCCGACACTTTGACGCTTGATTCTGCGCCAAAAACAAAACGGAGACAGACACAAAGCACGGTCTGTCACCGTTCTTTCATTGATGAGATGGAGCACTCCCTGGCCCCCAACTAGGCTAAGCACGATGCGCGGTCGTTCACAATTGTTCATATGGATGTAATTGTAATTATTATTACCGAAAGTATAGTTCTCGAAACATTTCAAGAAATTATACTTCTAGCCTTGGATAAATAAAAATTAATGATAATTATTAAATTAATATTATTATAATTGGTCAACAAATTTAATTATGTTTGGACCAGGCCTAAATAAAGATCGTTTTTGCTAGAATAAATAAACTATTAACAAGATCCCGACCTGAGCTAGCATTAAGAATTATCGAAATTGGAATTGGATTACTTTGTTAAAGGAATCACATATATATTAAAATAAAAAAAAGTTAGGAAACCTTGGACACACAAATTTTATACACCCTTGCGGTTATAGGATCAAATCGGAAAGCGATTATAACTAATATTAAAATATTCGCATTTTTTAAATCAATAGTTATTTATATTTTCTTATGACAATTGTTTCGTAAAATCAATGTTTAAAAAACTCACAGCTAAGCCAAAAAAGCATTAATTTTAATTCGGAAAGAGTTCCTATGCAAGTTTTTGTAAGATTAATAATTCTGCATACTCAATTTAAAATTTAATAAAATTAAAAATGTTGGGCCAATTTTTAACAATTTTAACGATGTAACCCCTTACAAATTTTTGAAAAAGTCGAAAATTTATTTTTATACCGGAAATGGCTAGATCGACTCGGCTATTGATGCTGATCAAGAATATATATGATTTATAAGGTAGCAAATGACTGCTTTATAAGTTTACAAACTTTGGACTAAAATTATAAAACCCTATATAAGAAACTTTTCCGATTCTTGCTATGTATATAAAGTCCCACATAAAAGACATTTGCTTGATTTCGGTGTGTTCTGTGAAATGGTATGCTTTATTTATTATACTCCTTGAAATCAAATGAATTTTAAAAGTTGGTTTTCCAATCTGCAAACATATTTAAGTTAAAAATTTGAAAGTGTTTTGTTTTTTCTGGTGATAAATACAAATTAATCTACAATAATTATTGTATATGCTTTTACGTTCTTAAACAGCTATCGTTACTTTGACTCTTGACTTGCTTACAAAAAGCATCGTTTTCTTGCGCAATCGAATGGTATTACCATTGTAGATACAAACATGAATTCAATTTAAAAAAATATACTTAAGCACAATGGTCAAAATGATAAAAAGGAATTCAACTAAAAATAAACGAAATAAAATGAAAATGCTCCACAACGGATTCTTACAACAAATATCTATCCGTTGCGTTACAAAAGGTTTACGAGAATTGCATATTTTGCTTTTAGTTTTTTTTTGTTTGGTTTCTAATTTCAAATTTTCTGTGTGTTACACTAATTTTCTTCGACTATCTTCGTCTCGTTTACGTTAAAAAGTCAAAATGTATCACAATTTTGATCATTTTGTTTTAATAAACACATTTTTTTCTCGGCTGCACCACTCACAATGTTAATTATTTAGTACACATTTATGCTGAATGTCTCGATTATGATTAGATGTGGGTCTTACACAAAATTTGATTCAATGAAACCCAAAATGTATTATATGTATGTGTAGGGGAAATTTCATAAAACCGATATTTACAAATACCAGGAAAGTAAATAACTATTAATGGTTGCCTTTTTAGCGGAGTATGCATAGTTGAGGCGCGCCCACAGATTGGCGCTTCAAAGTTTATAAACGTAGATATTATAGTTTCGTCCTCCGTTCGAGGCGTACAAATTATGGTGAAAGTCCTTTTAGTTATTGTTTCAATTCGATGACAAAGTAGGCAAATTATCAGAATGTTTTAGGGTTTTGGATTATCATTATAAATCTCTAAAGAAAATGCCGGAAAAGTACTCCTTATCAGATACGAAATGATATAAGTATGTACAATGAGCAAAACCTACCATTCGATATATAATATATTATAAAACATGTTCTCTTCTCTGTCTCTTATACAGTGGGTGTGTGTGTGTTTGTGTGTGCACATAATTTCGGATAAAATAACGTTTCTAACAAACTATTATCAAAGTTTATTGACCGTCGCTGAGTACTCTCTCATTTTCCGCGTGAGATTTGTATACCCTGTAGCAGCAATGTTTTTTTTTTTTTTTTTTTTTGTAGTATGCGTAAAAGTAAACACGATCGTACATATCGGTACATATGTAAGTATTGGATACATAATTTATACAAACATATGAGTAGTTGAGTAAAGCAAAGTAAACTCGACTACATGAATTTTACAATTATCTGAATCCTCCCGATCAATTGAAATGAAAGGCTCGACACGCAACCTAATCAATTTGATGCCTGGCTTCGGTTATTAACGCTAAGAGCGCGTCCAGTTTTAGATCCTTGAACCGCTCAAAGTGGTTCATTAGCGGCTGAATTGCATCCGACTCGATGGCCGCCGAGATGGTCTGATTCTGTATGGTGCGATTGAGGCAGGACGCCACCTGTGCCAAAAACTCCCGCCACCTCTGCCTGTTCTCCTCGCTGAGGGTGGCGTCCGTTCGGGAAACATATATTTCCTCGGCACGCAGTATAAGGGCAACAAGAGAAAGGATTCCAAACTACAAGCGAATTGGTCAGTTGATGGTTCTCCTTAGTATTAGGAAGTAAGGTTAACTTACGCGACTGCAGAAGATTCCGGTCAGCTTCTTGTCGTTCAGCGTGATGGCTGCTGAAATGCTCACTAGGTTCTCGAAACTGGCCTTGTTGATGTGCTTTTTAAATTCTGGATAGAGTGCGTATAAGAGTCCCTCAACGTCGTCCTTGTCCTTCTTCACCACGGTCTGAAGCGAACAAAAGATGCCGCTCCAAACGGTCCAGCAAATGCTTTGATCCGCAATGAAGGGCATAATGCGACGGAGTAGTATCTGCAAGGATAAAGTATTATTGAGTTAACTTCCTAATATCAATCGAAGATCAACTCACCTTTCCCTTGCGCACATTCATCATTGACACCACCTTGTCAAAGGTCAGACCAGCCTTTAACTTATTCACCAAAGCCGCATTGGTCTCCACCTCGTAGTTGAACTTGTTCCTTAGTTGCGGATTCATGGTTTGCGGATTGGCGGCTTCGGCGGCCCGCTCTTCAGCCGTTTTGTTTGCCATCTCCATCTGCTCCAGGGCCGCGATGCGCTCGGCCTCCTTTTTCTTTTTCAGCTCTATGGTGGCCATTACCTCGGGGCTCTCCAGATCCTCCAGCTTGAGCAGATAGCGATACAGCGTCTCGATTAACAGCAAGATGTGACGCGACTTACGCATGCTGCTCGGATTGACTTCGCTGCTCGCCGAAGGCAGCAGTGGAGTTCCTGCGTTGGATTTGGGGTTCGTGCTCGCGGAGGTCGTAGCTGTGGCATCGGTGCCGGTGCTCGATTCACCGCCCATAATGTCGGCGTCTATGATTTTTCGCGGCGCCGTCACACTGCCATACTGCAGCTTGCCCAGGGAGTTCTCAAACTTCAACGGCGAGAAGATGTAGCCCGTCAGGTTGTTGTTGTTGCCACCTGGACCATTGTTGGTGCTGCCTCCCGTGCTGCTGGTGTTTTCCGAGTTGCGGCGCTCGCGTCCATGGCCATTGCGAGTCCCGTTCTTGTTGCCCAACTGGACGAGAATGAGCTGCGCATGGCCGCGCGGCTGTGTGAGTGGATGGTTCAGCTGGTTGTCCTTGTGCGCCTGGCTGTTGCGCATCTGCCCATTCTGCTGAGCCTTGCGTTCCCTGTGCACCGTGAAGTAGTAGTCGTCGATATAGGGCGTATCCGTGTTCAGCTGCGACAGCTGGATCCCAATCAGCCAGTGTTTGTCGCGTGTGCTCATCAGGTTGGCGTACTCATCGTATTCTTCCAGAGGATAATTCCCATCCGGGCGCCGACCGAGCTGCTGCTGCTGCATCTGATTCTTTTGGCGGTCGCTAACCACAGAGCCAGCACGGCTCTGCTGCATTTGACGGGCGGCAGCAGCCTGCTGGAGCAGCGGATGGTTTTGCTGAATCTCCTGCACCAGCCGCATGTTAAACATGTTATACATAGAGTTTGGCTGCTGACCGAGCAGGCTGTTGGCCGACTGCAGCGGGTGCGGCGGCATCCGCGGCTGCTGCATCTGATGCGGATGTGGTGGCTGCATGAAGGCCGCCGGATGGAGGCCAGCGGCGCGCATTGCATTGAAGCTCGGATGCATTGCAAAGTTGTTCAGGGCCGTGGGCAGGGCGTGCGGATTAGGTAGTGGGCGCTGGTTGCCGCCGGGCAACGGAAAGTTGGGCGGCAAGTGCTGTGGCATGAGCGGATGCTGCGGCAGTTGGGGCATATTGCCGGGCATACCCGGCGGATAGATAAAACCGGGCGGTGCTCGATTTCCACCCATGCCGTTTAGTTGCTGCTGTGACGGCGGTGTTTGGAGCAGCTCGGGCAGTTGATGGGGACCGGGGAAGCCCAAATTTGGCCTGGGTGGAGAGGTCTGTGGCGTTCCTAAGAATCCAGGAGGGGCTGTGAAAAAAATGTTTATTAATATCAGGGCGAGTCTAAACAAGCCCGGCTAACATAAATAATGTATCAAATTAGCATGTTTATGTTGTCCAGAAATTGGATCTTATGATAACAGTTTCCACTTAATAAAGAACACTAACATCTGTTTATTTAATGCACTGCTTGCTTACCCTTGTGTTGCGGCTGTTGTGGCGCCTGCTGTTGCGGGGTCTGTTTCTGCTGATGCATCATGGTTGGTGTGGCCACATGCTGCCTGTTGCCGAGGCTGAAGTCGTCGAACATCTTTCGCTCCGCTGGCTGGTGATGATGATGCTGCTGCGGCTGCTGTTGTTGCTGCTTAGGCATTGCCTGCTGGATAATCATATTACGTTCAATGTCCTCGAGGGTGGTGATCTTCGGCCCAGCCTGCTGCGATGGTGGCGGCGGCAGGTGATGCAGCGGGAAGTTGGCATTAGCCTCTGGGGGAGGCTTCATCTGGTGTTGCTGCTGGTGCGGTTGCTGCGGCTTGAAGGCGCTGCGCAGGGGCTCTCGAAAGAGTGGCTGGTTGTTCGGAAATGGCTGCGACGCCCAGACGGCAGAGTCCAGATTGATCCGATTGCTCAGACCACCGGTCTCGCTGTCGGCGAATGAGGAGAGGTCCATGTCGTCCAGCTTCATCGACGAGAGGTTAAGCTCCAGATCTGAGTCGCCAATATGGCGCGCCTGCCTGAAGGGGGCATTGAACGGGGCCGGTGTTGAGCCGCTGGACGACGGACCGGACGACAGCAGGTTCGGGTGCCTAAAGGCTCCATTGCCGTGGTCGGGAAAATCCACATCCGCACTACCGCCGGCAGACGCGTCCACGGGCCGTTTGCGCATCCGTTCGCCATTGCCGCCGAGGCGCACCATCGTCTCGTGGGCCTCCTCCCAGTCTCCATTTATCGCCGATCCGAAGGTTTCGTCGTTCAGTGCATCATACTCCTCCTCCGCAATGCGCCCATCGCCACCGTCCTCGTCCTAGGGATCCAATTGATACAAATACATTAAAATCACGCTCATCCACGGCCCCCGCTGGCCTTCGATTGCCCCTTTTTGCGAAACTTCTCCGGAGGTGAAAAGCGCACACGAAGAGGCTGTTTCAAAGGAAAATCTGGAAGCGAATGTCGCTCCCGACAGTCCAGGTTTCTCCGCCATAATTCTACACCCGTGGGGCGTCCATTGCTCACCGGTATAGTTGTATCGAAGCCGAAAAACGAGTCATCCATGGCGAAAAACTATTGCTTCAAAAAAAATTATCATGACTTGTCAGTGACAAGTTGTCACCAGTGTGACCTAGCGATGGCCGGTCGTGCAGCACTTTTTCGCTATCGATAGAATGCAGCTATCGATTGCACTTTATTAGATACCGAATATTTAATTAATAAAATAAATTCATTAAATGAACCTAAAATTGAATTAAATTCAATTCATTTAGTTAGAAATAGCTTTTGTAAAATGAAAGTAAACTTAGAAATGATATATTGAAGGAAATAACATGATTTTTTTATTTTTCGCAGACGAACCGATATTGGGCTTGGAAATGGGGTAAATGTCATATGCCAATGCAAGGATGTTGCGCGTTTTTGGACAGGTTTTGATTGATTTCAAATTTATCCAAAATACGATTTAAAACTGTAAAAGTATTCATACATCGATTTTCCGAAGATAAATTCATAAATTTTCTATTCCTCTAAGTTTAAAATACATTTTCTTGAATTAAAAATTTTCTTCTTCCACTACAAAGAATACCCCATTTAATTACCGGTCTGGTCGGTATTTTGAACTAGTTCAGTACCATCGGTTAGTTCGCGGCTAGCACATCCCTAATATATTGGTTCTTTTGAGAAGACGGATTATTTTCCAAAACAACTTATTTAACCCGTGGAAGAAGCCTAAATGAAGCGGAAAACGAGTGAAATTTGGTGTTTCTTTAGGGCTGTGGACGACACCTTTGCGCTGTGCAACATCTGCAAGGCTAAGTTGTCCTACAAGACAACCACCACGAATCTCAGCAAGCATATGAACAGGATGCATCCAACATCTGCCCTGTCGCAGAATCCCAAATACAAATTTCAAACGACGGGTAGCGCCATGGACCGGAACAAAGGCAAGCCCCGAAACTCCACGCAGGAGGTAATCCTGCTGGAGTTCGTCAAAAAGCACCCGCGCCTGCTGCAGAACCCGACGTGGGAGACGCGCAGCAATTTGGAATCGTTGTGGGAGCAGCTCACCTCAGAACTAAACCGACATGGACCGCCGCGAAAGGATGTCGCCACCTGGAAGAAGGTATGTCATCCTTTGTCTCTGCACAACATTCTCCCTTTAATGCTGTTGCTTATTCATAGGCTTTGAAGGACTGGAAGAGGTTCATTCTAAAGAAGGTCGAAAAAAATGAGATGCACAACGTCCCCTTCGGTACCAGTCTCAATTCGTCGGAGGAAACAATAGCCACGTTGTGCCGCCTCAACGAGGATGTTAGCCAAATAATCATGAAGGTTTCAGATGACGACGAGATGAACGACCACTCCACGACCGAATTTGATGTGGATGACGTCGAGGATGTGGTCCCGGAGGATGACAGCGGTGCCCTGAACATCTCCACCGATTTCGTTTACGAGCCGGAAGAAACCAAAGTAGACATAGACCCCCTTTACCTGCAGTCCAGCAAACGTGCCGCGTTGGCTGCGAGTCGAACCGTGGACGACGAGACTCTCCTGGAGAACATTAGTAATAACATTGCATTGGCTAATGATGCCACGAGCAGCACACAACACGCACTTAAGGAGTTCTGTATCTTGTACAAGCAGAAGTTATACGAGGACAAGCGACACCACCTCGCCATCGAGCAGTTGATGGCAGAAAAAATCGAATTAAAGAAAAAATTCTTAGAAATCGAACAGCGAAAGCTGTTGCTGAAATGACAGAATTCACATGGTAAAAAGTAATCTAGTGTTAATATTAAGTACCTAAGGACTCTATATAAACTAAAATAAGTGTTTTCTAACTAACTGTTGTTTAATTTTCTATTTTAGATATAAGAGACGTGACATTGATATAGATTAAACTCATATTTTATTTTACAAATTTAGCTTAATTGCAATTGTTCGTCATAGACCTCTTTAATGATCTCCTTGAATTCCACGGGATAAAATGCATCACTCATAACAGCATCGTAGGCGTATTGCACGTCCTGTTGAATTTTAGACAATTAGAAAAAATTCACAAACACTTCAGATTACATTTCTTACTGCATTCGAATCCTCTGAAGCCTCAGCTCTATCCCCAGAGCTATCACTTAGCCCTCCCAAATCACCGCAGGCTATAAAGGGCACCAGACGGCGGTTGACATCGGATCCAGTCTTCTGTGCCAGCACTCTGATATCGTCTCGAGCCGTGTTTATCACCTGGGGAATGTAACCGGCGGGCAAACAGAACTCGGAGCACACCACAAACGCTTCTATGCTTGATGGACGAGAACTGGGCGGCTTGTAAATGTCGAACTTTTTGAAGAATATCTGCATCTGCGAACTGAGCAGCCAGGTGGCATTACCCTTAAAGATTTTGGCCACAAAGGTGCCTCCAGTTTCCAGCACGCAGGTGGCAATACTGAGGGCTGCCACCAAGAGCTGATGCTGCATGTACTCGTCCATCTCGTGGACACCGGTGACATCCGGAGCTCCGTCGCAGACCACAAGTTGCGCCTTCTCCTCGTTATTCCCGCCAAAATGACCGATTATAGCTTCGGCAGTGGATTGCTTAGTGATGTCGCCCTGTAGTTGGATGACGCCCCGAATTGGAGCCATGGCTTGCAGGTCAACGGCAATGATCTTCACGGCGGCCTTCTCGTCGTCGGTTTGGCAGGGGTCGTATAGCTTCCGGGACAGAACCTGTGACCAGCTGCCAGGTGCGGCGCACAGATCCACCGCCCGCTGGACGCCTGTTATAATGTTTATAAAATATGAAAAGCCCGAAGGAGTTGGAATACCACGCTAATCTTACCATCTAGTATGCCGTAGGCTTCGTCCACGTGAAGCAGCTTAAACGCACTCCTGGCACGCCAACCTTCCTCCTTCGCCTGTCGGTAATATATATCTCGTTTATCCTTTGAGGTTTTGCCCATATTTTAAGATTTTATTTATTAAAGGTATCTCCCATGCCGGGGATGAAACAATAGTGATGGACCTAATGGAACTAGTTCATTTGGAAATCTAAAATAGTATGACCGACCATTCCTTTTTATAATACTAACTAAAATATTAATAATATAAATATGTTTTAAAAATCAAGTTTCGAAAAAAGTTAAATTTAACACCTTATTCGATAGAAAATTGCTTCACCGAATTTTTTCACGTAAGTCCAGGACTTGATGTTTTTATCATTGAGAGCGAAAGAGTTAATAGTTATTCTAGCACATATATTTCTAATGGAAAAACTTGCTGAAATTTTTTTGGTTCTTAAATAGAAACTGTACAGAATAAGGATATATTTCTAAAATTTAATTTATAGCGGGTCAAAACAACGATATAATTTTAAAAATGTTGTAATATATATTTTTAAATTTTATGCATTTTCCAACAATTTTTGTTGTATTATATTTTTGTTTTGTTTATTTATATATTGTTGTTTATAACAAGTTAATTTCTTTGTAAAATTTTCTGTTCGAATTAAATTTTTAAGAAATTTTTTGGATTGCGACGTCAATAATTTTTGAACAAGCGTTTCAAGCTGATTATGAACAAAAGAGAATTCTGCTAAATTTCGAAATTAAATTTTCTTAATTCAAAACCCTTATTTATTGTTGATAATTATTTGTAATTTTTTTAGAATATAAACATTTCTTAAAAATAAAATAATAAAAATTTGGTGTGAATAACGTGGACCCTTTATGAAAAAACATTGGAAGTCATTTATATATATATATATATTATTTTTTTTAATATTATATTATACCTAAGCTCATGCAGTAGAGGGTTAATTTATATCGTCTCTATCTTGGGTTTACTTAAAAATACCAAAGTTCATCGGAAAATTTCCTCCATCGATAAGCTGCATTTAATTCGCTCCCAGATTCGGTCACACTTTCTAGCGCGAGAGCTTGAAAACTGCAAGTTCTCGTGAAATTTCCAAATTAACTGCAAATTATGCGTAGGATACCATTGTATATAGCGGCGGACCCTTCTCCCGAGGACTCTGAATATGAGACTATGACCTCGGTTATGTGTCCTCGCAACCTAATGTAAGTAACAATCGTTTTAAGTCTACGCCACGCGTCTTATGGCGACGACTTGCATTAATGTTTTTTGTTTATTATTAATTTATCGTTCTTGTTCAACTTAAATTAACCCATGTTTTAATTCCAGAGAGTGTGAACTGTTTCTAAAGATCTTGCGAAAGGAAACCGATGCGGTGTTTAAGTACTTTGCAAGGAACGCTGATAGTTGTCTGACGATTTCCAAGGAGTGCCTGAAAATGAAAGACACCGATGTGATGAAAATGGTCTGTAGGCTGTATCCTCCTTTTCCTTGAACATTTCCAGATTTCAATATTAATACGGTGTACCAATTTTAGACCCTGCAAAATTTAAATGAAATCATTTGCCGTGGACCCACTGATTCGATTGCGTTTGTGGATGCAATCTTGGCCAGAAGTGTGGTCTACCTTAAGAACTACGAACATGAGGTAAACAATATTTACTATCTGCGGGTCTAATCAATGATTAATCTACTAATGATGGACATACGCACATACCTTTCATCCATAGATCGCCTGCAATGACCTGCTATATTATGAATCGTTGCCGGTCGCCCTCAAAACAACGGAGGGAATCATATTCTCTGAAATATACCTGTGCGTTTGCCTGTATTTATTGCGAAAGTATCAACCAGCGAGGGACAAGTTGGCTTATGTGAAGAAACTGATTGGTACAGAAACACCGTAGCCATTAATGGCTTAAATATATAATATATACTAATTCATGTTTTTACAGATAAAGCCGCCTTACCTGAAAACAGTGGTGAGTATAATAAACAGTAAAACGTCTTCTAAAGATTATTATGAATATTATTGCTTATCTCGTATTTATCAAAGAAATGGCCAGCGTTTTGAACTTACTGAAAATATACGAAGACAAAATCAACCAAGAGTCTAGGAATGTGGAACTTTGCAAGAAAACGGTACGCAAGTTTTTTGAGCCGTTTCTTGGTTACAAGTTCTGCAGAAAAATTCCCTACGCCAGCAAGGCCTGCAAATATGTGTAAGCATAATTTTCATATTTAGCTTATTTAAATATCCTAAAAATTTGTATTACAGCCCAAAGTCGGGTGATAATGACGCCGCTGTTCTGGCATCAAGTGATATTCCCAAAGGGGAAATAGTCCTGGTCGAGGATCCCGCCCTCTTTCAGTTCAGTGCCCCGTTCCTTAATTGCTCCCTGTGTGAAACGCATCAGGAATTGCTTTATACCTGCGAGGACTGTCGTTATAAGACCTACTGTTCCAAGGCGTGTTTTGACTCCGATGCCATAGTGCATAAGTTTGAATGCCTTGGCTATCGAATTGGCCTATTACCCATGCTAGAGGCCACAATGTTGTTTCGACTATTTCTTCAAGCAGCCGAATACATATTTCCGGCTATATTTGATTTTACCATGGATGGCGGGTAAGCTTTAAGATCTTAATATAAATAAAATTGATCGTAAAAATATTATGATTTCAGAGTTATAAACAATCCGCGCGAAGCTTGGAACTTAATTCTGGAGCATGCCGAGGAAGAAGACGAAGAATATCATATTGTGGGGGATTTTCTCGCCACACGGCTAGACTACAAGCGCCTTACTAAGGAGCAGTACCGCGATGTGGTGTTCACAGCATTTCGCCTGGCTGTTTTCATTTATAATGACACCGATCTTATAGACAAGTACTTTAATTTGATGATCTTGGAGAAGATTGACATGATCAATGTGATAGCCGCTGTACTTTTGCGCTTGAGCGCCCACCTTCTGTTAAATTCTCATCGCCACGAGTTGTGGTATCCGAGATGCGGGGAATTCTTGAACGGAGCGCGAGTGGAATTGGTAACAACGTTCCCGCCTCGTATGCCATCAGAACGTATTACCGCAAACGCTTTTACTTATTACAAAATCAATCCTTTTACCGATTTTGTGGAATGCTACAAGAACGTAAAAAAGACACCGGAGAATGCTGGAAACAGTGACGCTTCAACTACGAAGGGTGAAAGTCCATTAGTTCATTTCGAAAATAAGCTATACTCAATATGCCTGAAAAATCGTGATGTCGATTGCATTGAAGATATCTTAAATGCGGAAATCCTGCCCATGCAGCTAGTTGACAAAATTCTCGAGGATTTCAGCACACCCAAGCGCTGTCAGATGCTAAAGAATATTGCAAAATATTTTCATTTGTACATCCATCAATATATAAACAATTTTACTGTAAATAATCGAATCTATCAACTGAAATCCTCGCTTTGTGCCACCCTAAAAACCTTTAAGCGTTCCTGTAAGACTGAAAATGTGAAAGTGGCGTACGTTTACAATTGTGAATTTTTTTTTTGTTTCTAAAGACTATGTGATTCCATTTTAGGTTGCTGCCTAATGGTCAAATTTTGGGAGTGACACTTGACCAAGTCAATGCCGGCGTAGAGTTGGTGCTATGCTGTGACATGATTAACCAACATGACCAGAACCTAACATCCGAGAGAGCGCAATTCCAGGATTTTAAGTTTCCCTCAACTATTAATAATGAAATCAATATCGTAAGAAATTGGTGATATTTAAAATATTATCTTATTAATTAGTATAATTAATTTTCAGTTCGGAGAAATACCTAAAAAGTCATCAGAGTTGTTGCGATACCATAAGTTACTTACACATCAAATAAACAACAAGGTATCATTTCTGAAGAGTTCTCCGAAAGGTTCGTTAAACTTTAGCACATCTATGTTGTTAAACACATCTATGTTGTTAAATACAAACCCTTTTTTATATTTATATTTAAGATTTAAAGGTTCAGCATGATTTAATGACTTTGTATGGAACATACAACAGTTTTCTCACCTTGCACTTCCCCGAAACTCATGAAATGTGTTTACTTGGAGTGCTTAAGTTTTCCTTGTTTCTTGCCACGATTGGTAACGTATATTTATATATTTTTTTTATTTTTTAAATAATATTTAAATATTCTTGTTTTAGGTTTTCTTCAACATTCCAGTGATATTATTTTTCACGTGATCGAGTTAATAGAACTCAATGATATATATCTTAAAGATATTGGCCTTTACCGGCAGGTCTTCTGTGTCATTCAGAAGAATGTCGAACAGTATATTGACATAATGTGAGTTTTTCAATAATTCAAAAGAATATTTTATTTATTATACATTATTGCAGGATCGATAGTCAGGAGCTGGGCTCTGAGTATCCCGAAATGTTGCTGCTGAGCTGTGCGTGCCTTTTAAAGAGACTAATGCGGCATACAGAAAAACTACTTGACGATGAAGAGGCTTCTCGCTTATACATGGAATTCAGTACCTATCACATCAAATGGAAGACAATACTTAACTCTTACATACTAATGCCGCCGGGCCTAAGAAAATATTTGCTAGAATCAAAATAGTAGGGCCCCTGTTACACCTTTTATTGTGTACAAATGTATGATGAAACCCAAGAGGCATGACTGCACAAGTCCCTATTGATATTCGGAGAACAATTTTAAGTTAATTTATGATCCATTCCAGTCACTACACATGCCATATACCGTTTTTGTTTCGTTTTTATTTATTTACGCAAATGTTGAATATATTATAAAGTTCGTTTGAAGGAGTTACTTATGATACAGTAATTGCAGTTTTAATTGATTTATATCAGTTTTCGTTTGTTTATATATTGATTTCCTTAGCTAGGAAATTACCCACCCATTAAAAATTACATTGGCAGAAGAAGACGAAAACAATGACTCAGAAGAATGCTGTTTTCATTGTAGAATGAAAATCTGTCAAGAATAAGAATCTGGCGAGATATATCTTCTTGATCTTATCTGCTTAATAAGTTTATTTATAAAGAACTTGACCATTCCAGATTATTTCCGAACGGAAAACACGTTCTGGTCGGCATTATTTGGCTATGAATTTACCCACAGTTGGTCACCGCCGAATATTGGAAATTATGCTCGCATATTTCTGCACGTTCTTCTATCTTGACGATCTTACCAAGAATTTCGCGTTGCATTATCACGTCTCCAGAGCGCGGAGATCGTGCGGGCCCGTGGCTGCTGCAGTTTCGTATATATAGGCGCCGCGTCTGTGGGCCGTCATTGCGTTTCGAGGTGTCGTCGGTGCGATGAGAGTCTTTCTATTGGTTTCAAGTGTGCTGGCTGTGGCGGTGGCCAGTCAGTGTCCGTTTGCTTCAATGGATCCGGTGTCCAGGACGAAGCGGGATACTTACGACATTCGTCCGGGCGTGAGTGATGGCAGCTTGGATGCTCTGATCAAGGACTTCCTGCCCAAGTTCGAGTCGAACGCTGCTCACAATAGTTGGGCGCCGTCTTCTGGACCCCAACAGCCCGTGAGGTGTGGGGTGCCGCCTCCAAGCTGTCTGAATGACACACGCAACCTGCAATACCGGAGTATCGATGGGTCTTGCAACAACCTCCTGTACCCGGATTATGGTATTGCCGTTTCCCGGTACCGTCGCCTCTTGCCTCCCCGACAGGTTGAGCAGGCTCCAAATGCACGCCTTATTTCACTTTCTTTGTACGGAGAAGAGACCAGCAACGACAGATTCCGTACCATGGCGGCCATGCAATGGGGTCAGTTTGTTGCCCACGATCTCAGCCAGTTGACGACCCAAGGAGCTCCCCGGGATTGCTGTGCCGAGCCGAATAATCCCCGCTGTCAGGTTATCAACTTGGCGCGTGGAGGACCCATCGCATATCACACAGGCAAGACCTGCCTGCCCTTCGCACGCAGTGTATCCGAGGCGGATGCCATTTGCCCAAGGAGTGATGCCCCCTATCCCGAGAAGTTGTCGGTAGCTACAGCCTACTTGGATCTCTCTTCGGTGTATGGCAACACACGTTCGCAGAGCCGGAAGGTGCGCCTCTTCAAGGGCGGTCTGCTGCGGACGAGCTACGTCAATGGCCAGCACTGGCTACCGGTTAGCCAGAATCTTGAGGGTGAGTGTGGCACCAACAGCGAGTGCTACATTGTTCCGGACAAGCGGAATCGCTTCCAGCCCACCGTGGCCGTGCTGCATACTCTGATGGTTCGGGAGCATAATCGACTGGCCGAGAACGTGGCTCTGCTCAACTCCGACTATGATGACGAGCGCATCTTCCAGGAGGCGCGCAAGATTAACATTGCTCAGTACCAGAAGATCACCTACAACGACTGGCTGCCCCTGTTCGTGGGTCGCACTTATAGCTATCTTAATGGTCTGGTCTATCCGGTGGAGCCGACCGAATATGTCAATGATTACGATGAGACGGTTAACCCAGCTGCCTATGCAGAGTTCTCTACCGCAGCATTCCGGTATGCCCATACCCAGATTCCCGGTTGGTTCTCGTGAGTATTTTAGTCAAAGAAATCCTTAACTTCTGCTTATTACCATAATTATCCTTTTTAGATTGGTGGCTCCCAATCGGAGCTCCAACAAGACGCTCCGCCTGAGTGACTATTTCGATCGGTCGGAGACCATCTCTTTGCTGAACAAGTACGACAACTTTGATGCCATGCTAAGGGGTTTGGCCACGCAGCTTCACAAGCGATCGGATGGTAATATTGATCGTGAGCTCAAGCACTACTTCAACCGCAAGGAGTTCGAGGAATACGGATCTGATCTGAAGGCTATAGACATCCAGAGGGCTCGAGACTTTGCCTTGGCTTCGTACAACGATGTGCGCGAGTTTTGTGGACTAAGGCGAGCTGTTGACTGGGCGGACTTTGCTCATGAGATCCAGGCAGAGGTATACGTTGGATAAATCTCCTAGAACTCCTTTATTTAATTTTGAGGATTTTTAGAAAATCTCACTGCTGCGTCGCCTGTATGCCACTCCTGATGATGTGGAGCTGAGCGTGGGTGCTACCCTGGAATTCCACATACCCGAGGCTCTATTCGGACCCACTTTATTGTGTGTAATTGGCAAACAGTTCCACAACACCAGGCGTGCCGATAGATTCTTCTTCGAGCGAGAGCATCCTGCAGGCTTTTCAAGGGGTGAGTGATCTTATAAACCTTATTTAAGTTACATACGTTATTAAATCCTTTTCTACAGATCAACTGGCGGAGATCCGCAAGGTCAGTTTGGCCAGCTTGTTCTGCAATAATGCCCAATATCTGCACACCATTCAGCCAAATGTATTCGTGTTCCCCAATTCCCAGTAAGTTAAAGATATTTTTCCTGCCCAATTTAAATTTTAACTAAATTTATTCATAGAAATCTGCTCATTAACTGCCATGATGTACCTCAAATCGATCTGAGCAAGTGGCAGGATCTCAGGCCCCAACTTGTGCATTAGTATCATCAATGGTTTGGAGTATCTGGAGCACATTGGTTGGTCCAATTAGTATATTCAGATATGACCATTTATCTTAATACATTTATATTGTTTGTGCTTCAATTAACTAATTGAAATCATTAAAAGTCTGCATTAACAACTTTTAGATTATAGAATTTTATAACTTGCTGATATCCCACAAGTTCCATCCAAATAAAAATGATTGTTAATAAAATATTTAATAGTTTTGTATTTTATATATTTTCTTTATTTAAAATAATGTCAGACTCGTAACTCTTGCCAAATTCACATTTGATTCTGTAGTTTGTAAAGGTTTTGGTGAAGTTCATAGAATTATAGACACGGGGATACCCAATGAAGCCGAGGGGATATTAGAAGCGGATATGTTATCTTCGTGTTGGAGACTGGTATTAATTGTGGTCGTTTCCGGGTAGGAAGTTATTGGTTCTTCGGTTGTGGTGCTTATAGATTCTTCTATCAGACTATCAGAAATATTCTCACTGGCTGATAATATAGCTTCCGTTGATTGAACATAATCGGTTCGATTGGCCATCGGGTTATCAGTACTTGAAAGTGGCTCTAGAGTCGTAAAGTTATATATAATCTCTTCTTCTGTAAAATTATCATTGGTAGTGACTTCTTCCGGAGACTCAGTAGATACAATATCCGATTTATCTTCTGATAACTCACTCATTAAAGTTGAAGTTTCCATATCTCCAGTAAGAGTTGTGGCTTCTTCATTTTCCGCTAAAAATTTAGTGTTTGTGGGCTGAGTAACTTCTTCCAGTGCAGAATCTTTCTCGATTTCTTTCATAATTAATCCTGATTCGGTGTTTGCTAAACTACTTTCGGTAATCTCATCTTTTTCGGTAGTTAAATCGATACTAAATTGATTTTCATTAGTAATTTCATGAGTTAGAGGTTGGCTAATACTTTCAATTGGGGAAGTTTTCACTGTTGTAATTGACTCTGCATTATTTTCTACTAAATCCGAATTACTTTCAATCAAGTTAGTGGTAATTAGTTCTTTAATCTCATGATTTTCTTTTTCAATATTAGTGTTTGTTGATTGAGTATTGGTCTCAAGTGCAGTTGTAGTTATCTCTGAATTATTTGTATTAACCTCCGATTCTAGGTTTAACGTTGTACTTTTAATCTCTTGATTTGTATCTTTTAAAACAATAATTGCAGGCTCCATTATACTATCCATTGGGGAATCTTTCACGATTGAAATAGATTCTACAATATTTTTGTCCACAGCTGCTTCTTGATCTGTTTTAACTTTAGATATCTTTTCATTAAGAATTTCATCTTGTTTAAAATCTATCTTGTCTTCCTGTTGAGTTGTAAGATCTAATACGATATTGTTATGGCTACCTTTTACATCTTCAATGACTTGGTCTTTCTTTTCGGGAGATTTGACTTTACTGATATCCAAATCGGTTCTTGTTTTATTTTGATTTCCTAAACTGGGTTTCTCACTAAGTTTAGTTACCTTGTTTGTGCTTAGAGATGGTCGGCGATTCGGATTGCTCGGATTAGTTTGATTAGTGGTACTTGTAGTTTTAATTACCTTTCGTTTAGTTGTTTGCTGAAGAATTAAACCATTGGTTTTATGATTTTGAGAACTAGACATTGGCCTAACCACTGTTTTTCTGTTCTTATGATTCGGGCTTATCTTGTGGCTTTGATGGATTCTCTGGCGATTGGAAAGTGAGGAAGCCGTTGGTTTTCTACGACTTGGATTCTTATGGTTCTGGGTCAGCTGTGGCTTGGCAACTTTAACTTTTACCTTATCGAAATGTGCCCTGGAGGGCTGCGGTTCCTTGAGTTTATTTGTTTCTTTAATGGGTTGCCTGATATCGGGTTTTGATGGCGGGCTCTCATTGGTTGAAGTGCCCTTTGGCGATTCCTTTGCCGGTAAATAAACAATTGTTGGCCCTTGTCGATGACCTGAACCCTTCCCTGGGGGGCCTGGCGGACCCGGCAAACCTGGTGGTCCAATGGGACCAGGGAATCCAGCATATCCTGGCCTGCCCCTCTTACCCCGTTCTCCCTTTTCTCCCCGATCGCCACGATCACCTTTCTCACCTGCAGGACCCTCTTCACCTGGCAATCCAGGTATGCCCGGTGGTCCGGGAGCACCCGGAGGTCCAGGCTTGCACTGGCAATGGGAGGGATAAGGTGGAGGTATATGATGGTGGGGCCCATAGCCATAAGGAGGAGGTGGAGGGTGCGGATGAGCTATCGTTTCGGGTCTGTAATAGTACACGTCATAGTTGTCACGGTGGGAATTCTTTTCCTTCGGCCGAGATTCCCTTCTCACCGGCCGAATGGCGCTCAAAGACCACTTTCCCTCGCAGAAAGGGGAAACCGCTGAGAAACAAAGGAAGTAAGAATGCGAAATCATAAAATTAGATCAACATTTCACTCACCTGATAACAGCAGAAGAGCGAGCAGCCTCATGCTGAGGGCCAATCTTCGAGAGTGTGCACCTGTCCGCCTCGGAGCCCGTCTTATATAGCCCACTAAAATAGTTGGGATGGGCGGGTTCTATAATGGGTTAATTAGAAGCACATCAAATTTAAATTCGCAGATCATCCGCTAAACGGTCTTGCATAAATTAAAGCCATGACTTGGCCGAATTTAAAGACATTATCTCATTGATCTGGAAATTAAGTTCAAATTAAAATTAACTAACCGAAACAATAAAGTTTTTGCAATAATAATTATTACCCCACATAATATTTAAATTTAATAATAGATTTATTTTTTTATTAAGACTAATCAAAAGTTTATATTTATTGCACTCACGTGCTTTCTTTTTACGGTCCCTGCTCTCTTTTTCGTCGTCTTTTGTTTTCTATATTCTAGGACTATAAAAAACAGATACCGCAAAAATGGAACGACTAGCCTTATCTGCTTTTTATGGATTTTAACGTTTTTTTTTTTTTTTGTTTTTTATGATGCTCATATAAATTGATATTAAGTAGCGAAATCGGATATGACACACGCTAAATTCTTTTAGGTAATAAAGTAGTGGATCAATCAGATGCACAGCATCGTTAGCTCTCCCAAAACGGTGTAGTTTTTCAAATTGGGTTATTTATGATTCCGTAATTCAGAATTTAAATATTGGGTTAATGTATTTTCTACTTATTCGTACAAATATGCATTCGGTACTTTTAGTGTAAAATCCTAAGATTTATGTGGTTATCAAAAGCACTTTTACTTGCTTTCTTGATATATCCGAGCACAAGTTTTGACAATATCCCATTGTATTATGAATGATGGTGTTAAATTGGCAAACAAAGTTTGTGCGTCATTGGTTCTATTGTTAAATTTCTTTGTGATTTCACTTTTCACATGTCTGTCTTTATTGTTAACTTATAGAAAAGACCACAAAGCCGAACCAATTTCTAAGAACAACGGAACTATTGCCATAACAATACTCGTGCTTATCTCTAATTTATTTAAACGGGTCCTAAACGAATTTATTAGAATGATTGAATTAATAAATCTGGTAAATGTAAAGGGGTTTATTGCTGTTTTAAGGGATATTACTTTTGGGGTTTATTATGTGGCTTAATTTAGGGATTATGTTTCAAAATAGGGATTGGGATATAGTAAAATGTAAAAGGGCTTTAGTTAAATCTATAATTATAGGAAAGTTAATCCATTTATTAAAAAGTTTTTGAGTATTTGTATATGTATTATATGTACATGATATTATTTTCATAAATAAGACTTACCGCTGTAGTGGACACTCGGTTATCCTAATTCGGCATTATTTAATTCCTTCCAGTGTAGATTTGTTTACCTGGTGACTTTAATTAGGCTCATCATCAAAGTAAGCTCCTTCCTGGTTATCCAGATGTGTTCCATTTGTTAGGTGATATTTTTGAGGTCGAAGGTAATCACTATCACTATCACTATCACTATCACTATCACCAGAGATGTAAACAGGAGGACGGCCACGGACAGAATGAGGCCGGCGGGCCATCAGTGCCTCTATTTATACTCTCCAAGCAAAGAGAAAAGAGGAAGTTAGAGCAAGAGAGCGAGAGAGCAAGAGTTGTCTCTAGGCATGGCCACAGAAATCCCTAGAGAAACATAGAGAGAGAGAGAGAGCGAGGGAGAGAGAGAGCTCGATAGAGCCGGAGCTAAATGCCGGCATAGAGTAAAAGGGATCTTTCCTATAACATCTATATGATATAGTCGTTCGATCCGTCTGATGCATATAAATTATATATTTACGTTATATGACTTTGACTTACTGCGTTTGCAAACTTCTGATAAAAATTATAATACCCTGCACGGGTAGAAATACTAAATATAAAATACTAAACAAAAAAATAATAAATATAAAAAATTCAACAAAACGTAATAGAATTTCCATTCTTAAATCAGTTTATTATCATGTTTCATTGGCAAGACTAGGTCTCATACTGTTCATAGGCATAAATGTGAAAGGGATTTCTTGGAGTTCCAATGGCCAAGATAATTGGCCGTCCTTTGTTATTAGTTCGTTGCTCGACGGGATCAATCTCAAACGCTGAATTCTCCTCCATGGTTGGTACAAAGTCCAGTTGTTCCTCCATAACAGGTTCCTCTTCCATGGGTTCTTCCTCTGGAGCGATCTCCATATTGCTCTCTGCACTCACATTTGGCTCCTCCTCAGTGGCTTCTTCAACAGATGCAGCTGGCTGGATATTGTCCAGGGCATTGTCAATATAGTTGCCATAGCCAGTGTCCTCGGGCTCCTCGGGCTGAAAATCAGCGGGATCGTAAGGCATCTGTTCCTCAGCCTCTGGGATATCATTCTCCTCGACTAGGTTTTCAACAACCTCCACATCGGCATCCACTAATTCAAGATCATCGCGTGGTACCTGCTCGCCGGAACCGTACGACTCTTCGCGCACAGGAGGAGTACCCATGGGGTCTCCTGTGTGGTGACCACCATGGTGTCCACCTCCGTTGTGTCCACCTCCGTTATGTCCACCTCCGTGATGTCCACCTCCGTTATGTCCACCTCCGTGATGTCCACCTCCGTTGTGTCCACCTCCGTTGTGTCCACCTCCATTGTGACCTCCTCCATGGTGTCCACCTCCATTGTGTCCGCCTCCGTGGTGCCCGCCTCCGTGGTGACCACCTCCGTGATGGCCACCTCCATGATGACCACCTCCGTGATGACCACCTCCGTGGTGTCCACCACCGTGGTGGCCACCATTTCCGGGATGATGCGAGGGTGGGTAGTGTGGGTGGTGACCGTGATGTCCGCCCCCATGATGGCCGCCGCCATGATTATGGGACGGATGATGATGATGTCCCTTATCGTGTGGGTAGCCATGGTGAGGTGGATGGTGATGGTGTCCTCCCTTATTGTGGCCAGGTGGATAGTAGTGATGATGGTGCCCACCCTTGTCGCCCTTATGATGTCCCTTGTCGCCCTTGTGACCCTTGGAAGGCCATGGCACTGGCACTGGGAACGGGACTGGGAAGGGAAGTTGTCCACCCGGTCCATGTGGTGGATATGGTGGTGGGTAAGGGTAAGGGGGATATGGGTAGGGGGGATATGGAGGCGCCGGTGCTGGGACTGTGCTGCCTGGAGGTCCTGGCGGTCCAGGCGGACCGTTTCCTGTAAGCGAAAAAGAGCAAATAGTTAATCCCAAGAGGTCAAAGTTAGGCAAAGATATATTTAAAGTATTGTTCACTCACCTGGTGGTCCAGGCGGGCCAGGAGGTCCCTTGTGGTGATGATGTCCACCCTTCGAAGGTGTTGGAATTGGTACAGGAATGATCACAGGTGGTGGAGGTGGAGGCGGCGGATGATGTGGGTGATGATGATGTGGTGGTGGAGGCGGCGGTGGCGGCGGCGGTGGTGGTGGCGGCGGATGATGATGATGATGGTGATCATGGTGACCATGACCATGCCCCTTGTGACTGGGAGGTCCTGGAAGTCCTGGTGGGCCAATGGGACCCGGGAAACCAGGAGAACCGGGAGGGCCATGGTGGCCGCGTTCTCCCTTCTCGCCGCGCTCACCCTTGTCGCCTTTGTCACCCTTAGAACCCTTTGGACCCGGTTGTCCAGGTGTGCCGGGTATTCCGGGCGGTCCCGGGGGACCTGGTGGTCCCGGTGGGCAATTACAGTGGTGTACAGGTGGTGGAGGTGGAGGCGGTGGTGGTGGGTAGTAGTGCTGCGGTGGCAGCTTGTAGATAACACTTTGTGGTGGTGAGGGAGCCGGAGCGGCTTGGAGCGAGGCAATTAGACGAGGGGTCTCTGCAGCCGGCTGCTTGGCACTCGCCTCCAGGGCGAAGGCCATGCCTGGAATAAGGAAAATCAAATAAAAATCGGAATCCGATTAGAATGCAACTCAATCTGACCAAAGCCAGATCCATTGGGATAATCCCTTACCTAGCCAGAAGATCACTGCGAACAGTCTCATGGCGAAATGGCATCTGCTGCCTTTCGCCGGCGGATGGATCACTTTTATACCGCATTATGAACTGTTAATCTCGTATGCACACTTTGTTCAAAGATCACTTTCATTAATCTAGATTCACCAGAACCGTTATATCATGTCCATTCAGAAATCCGCACGGCGAATCTCTCGGAAAATATGCAAACCTGCTGATGATGCCAGCCAGTTGATGATGATGAGATATATCTTTCGCTGTTCTCCCAATGTTCATGCTAATTTATGCCAATTCAAAAAGTGGACCGCCTCTGAAGTATGAATATGCTGATTCCTGTATATGAATACCATCGCAGATGATAGCCAAGAAGAACAAATTCTTTGTTGGCCGATTGTCTCGTTTACGACTGGGATCGACAATACCTCAAAAGATGGTAGAAAAAAGGCGTTTTGTCTCTTAATTGGCCGTTTCTATCAAGTTGTTCACACCTCCAGTCGCGCGCCTGCATATGATTAACCCTGATTGTACGGCTCGAACCCAAAGTCAACGAAAGTGTAAAGGTTTTCGATTCTCCGGCATTATTCATTATCTTACTACGATGAGTCTTACGTAAGAAGGGGGCGTGTCCCATGGTATCATGCTGGGAATCTTGGGAATTATATCGTTCTTAAATTCCCTTGACTTGGTGGTATTTAGATCTAACTTTCCGATTTCTGACTCCAGCTCCTTAAAACAAATGCAACTAAATGGTAAAGGGCTTTTATTTCTGTACATAAAATTGGTTTGGGGCATTATCATACAAGGGGGAGTGGGGAGCGTTTGAGTTAATGATTATGTTACTGATTAAGCTAAAGGTATTTTATATTCAACTAGTTAATAATAGATCGGTGATCACTTCTTTCCGAAATGAGCGGACGGATCTACCGCGGCATATGGCTTTTGGTCAATCCACTTGGTGAGGTCAACTTGTGGAATATTCGAGCACGGCACAATGGGATTCCTGTAATTAAAGATCATAAAAATATGTTCATAATTCTACTTGAATTGAAAATAAATCAAAACTCACGAATGGGAAACCGTTCGGAAAGCCTCGGGTTGCATGGATGTAATGTGGTTGCCATTGTCACACAAAAGACGGGCCATACTTGACTTTTTCAGCTCAGCAAGTTGGTCTAAGATTGAAGAATATAAGATATTAATTTATATAATTTATATATCAAGATATATATATATATGTATATTCACCTGGAGTAAATCCAGTAAGTTTGTCTCCATTCTCAAAGAAGAACCGATCGCCAACTCGAGTGCGGTAGAACTGTTCGGTGAGGATGCACAGGAAAGTGGGTCCGGCCAGAGATCCGGCCACATGGGCCTCCAGAGAGGCTCCCACAGTCAAATCCACATCCTCGTGGCTCTCATACAGTGACTTGAGCTTCTCCAGAATCGGAGGACTGATCAGATCGCCATATCCCTCCCAAGAGTGGGCTCGCCTCAGGCCACAGAATTCACGCATATCGTTATAGCTGGCCAGACCGTGGTCACGATTGCGCTGAATATCCAGAGATCGCAAATCCGAACCGAAGGGCATGTTTCTCCTGAACAGGAAGTGCTTGATCTGCACCGGAAGAGTCAACAGTGAATGGAGGAAGGTAGCTTATAACCGAGATGGATGCATACCTGTCTATCAAAGTTAATATCGGTGAGCTCCTCCGGCTGGGTGGCATGTCCTCTGGTCAGGGAATCGAAGTTATCGCCAACCTCAATGATGCCGGGACGGTTGAACCAGTCGCTGAGGGTCAGGGATCCAAGGACTTGACGCAGCTCCGACAAAAGGCTGAGGGAGTGTTTGAAATAGTTATTTAATATTTTAGTGCTATGAAAATGTTTAAATCTATTTATAATTAAAGTAGAAGTAGAAGTAGAAGAAGAAGTATAAATAATTAGCTATAAATCCTATTACTATTAGCTGTTGCTTGTAAATATTAATGCTTTAGTATTTACAATCGTGAAACCTCTTTTTTATGAGAACTAATACCATTTAGTGTTCCTGTTCAGAAATAGATGATTTTAAATAATGCAAAAATGTATGTAGGTTAAATGGCTAATCTATAATCTAAACCGACTGTGGATTCTTTGCCATTTCCTATGATGTCACTACCATTTTGCCTTTCTTGACCAGTTTTAATAGTAAAAGAACAAAGGGAAAATATGAAATGGAGGAACATTCACTTTAGCTAGATCCATGATTTGGCAATAGAGGGGGAAAAGAGTTGTTAAAGCTTACTGAACATAATAATTATCTTAATGAGCTTCTTAGTACTTACTCCAAACGGCCTTCGATCTGCGAGTGGAAGTATCTGAAGGCAGCAGTTGCATGCTCATTTAGGACAGCCGGATCGATATTGGTATCAAAGTCATTGATAAAGCTTCCTGGCGGGGCCTTGTAGATGAGCCTGTTCTTCAGCATATTCTCGCCACCCAGGAAGATGGGCAGCCACTCGTAGTAACTGATTTGCTGGTACTGGGCAATGTTGATCTTGCGTGCCTCCTGGAACAACGTCCGATCGTCATAATGAGGATTCAGGGCAGCCAAATGATCCGCAATGCGGTTGTGCTCGCGCAGCAGGACAGTCTGGAGGATGGCCAAACCCGGGTTCTGGTTCACCCTCACATCACCGGCACGGTAGCACACCTCATTGGCATCCACAGCATCACAGTCACCGGTGACATTCCTCGAAAGTGGCATCCACTTGGCTCCATTACGTTCCTCCACAATCATCCGTCCTCCCTGGAACTCTCGAATATCGCTGTTCTGCTGAATGGAGTTGCCGTAGACCAGAGATAGATCCAAGTACGAGGTGACCACCGTCAGCTGCTCTGCCGGTCCGCCGCGGTACTGACAGTTCGAGTCCCGATCTGTGAGCGTGCGCACAAAGTTGAGGCATTCGGTGCCCACCTGGGAGTAGGCGGGATCGTGGGGCGGCACAATGATAGCGAAGCATGTCTTGTGGGCAGTGTCCAGGCCAATTAGACGGCCATCGTCCGTGCAGCAGCGAGTTGGATGCTTCTCTGTGGTAGGAAATCATTAAATGAAATATTTGAAGGCAAAGCTAGTGATCTTCACGCTTAGATTTGCATGAATGTGAATGCACTTCACTTACTCGATTGGGTGCCTCCCGCCTGCATACTCATGTCATGCGTCATGATCTGGCCCCACTGCATGTTGTGCAGCGTGAACTCGGGATCGGGCACATCCTGCTCCCCGAAGGCCACCAGGGACACCAGTCGGGCACTGGGCAGCTCGTCTCCGGTCACAGATCTTGTTGGTGCCGAGATGCCATCGGCATACTTGGGTGTCAGCAGGCGACCATATCTGTAAAGGATGGGACTAGGTAACTGCAGGAAAGGAAGTTAGTTTTCTTTTGGTTATCACCTGGAGTTGGCCACACCAAGCTCGGGTCGCTCCAAGTGATTGCAGGATCCATCCAGAGTGCGATAGGCAGTCTTCTCGCAAACTGCAGGCGGAGCAGCACAGGCCACCTGACCAGCAGTGGGAAAACTATAACCGTAGGCACTCACTGGAGTACTGGCAGGTGCTGAGAATGGATGCTGGGGAGCCGGAGAAGTGGGCAGGCTATAAAAATATCAAAAAAGTTGTATAAAATAGTGGGTGAAAAAAAAGACTAACTTACCCCACAACAAAATGAGAAGGAGCTGATCCTTGGAGGTACCTATAGCCATGGAAATTGGGATAAGACGCCGGCTGATTATGAACTATATGATAGCCCGTGGAAACTTTAAGGCCAAGTGCACTGGCCATTAGTCCCAAGAGGGCTAAGAACAGAAAATCTCTTGCCCGGAACATCTGAAAGTAAAAGGAATTGATTAGAAACCTTATTAAACTAACGCATTTTCAATTCAAAGTAGGAAAATATTTAGAGTCAAGTATGGCAGAGTTAGCTTGTTAAATTTCTGTCTGTCTTAAATGAGTTGTTTCCAGGAAACATTAATGATTTTTTGTTTTAAATCATGCCTGGTTTTCCTATTAAATTCTGATAACAGCTTCGTATGATCGATTAAACCATAATTGCACTAAAACCAACAGGTTTTTGATCAATTTTTCATTTCAACACACTTAATGGGAATTTCATTTAAATGTACATAATCCAAGGAATGCTGATTAAGCGGTCACAGTAATGTTGTTTTCGGGAAATATGGAATTCAAGACAAATTCATCGTGTGTGTAATACTGTGTAGTCCAAGGTCTGCACCATTTATGGTAACACACACCATCGACAATCCATTCATATTGCATATCCTGAACTACATGGGAAAAAGCTGTTAGCACTCCTAACACATTCGGCAATTTATGCACTCCGCTGGTATGGTAACCCACATAAAGAGCTGGGGTTTTTTTTGCAGAGCCGAAAGGAGTAGGTCTCGTACATACATATGTGAGGCTTGTGGAGGCTGCAAAGCTGTTTTGGCCACTGGAAGCCAACGCCGACGACGACTTGGACATGTCGGACACATTGGACACATTTCATGTTCGCCAAGCAAGTGAACTACAACTGGAACGTTTTGCATTTTTTGTCTCTCCTTGCGGTCTACGATCGATCTGGAGTACGAATCCGAGACGGAGTCCGATCTGGACTCCTTTGGCTTGGCATATGGTCACAACAGGTTTCATCACCGTTTTGGTGCGCATTCATTATTATTTATTGCGACATTTTAGTACGAACATGTTCATTGCTCAGACCCGATTCGCGGGGCATTATGTGCATTATATGGTATTGGCCCAAGCCCCGGCCTAGAGCTGCAGCCTCCGACTAAAAAAAAAAAAATCTGAGCACAATGAAGCCGATTCAGATTCGTGTGCAAGCGTGAAAAGTCTCATAATTGTTTTATGGCCAATTTGCAGGCTACTTATGTAAACAGACCGAATCGACAGTAATGGTTAGCTTTACATAATGAATTTGTTGTCGACGGTGGCGGCCCCGTTCTGTGGCTTCCAAAACCCATTCCACGC